CGGATTAAACCCTAATTTCGTAATACTCGCTAACGGATTACTAATATATTAAGACCGCTTAATCGTCCCCGATTCGGAAAACCTACATACCCGTATTATTAACGAAATATATTTAATATTATCTATAGCCTACCCCGGACGGAATAAAATTCGAATAATCCTTAAAACCCAATACTAATAATTATATATAATTAAAAATATTAATAAATCTATAAAGAATTATATAATATATAAAGCTAGCAAAGTCCTTAAAGATAAAATACTAGGCTTATTATACCTAATTTCCCCGCTAGGCCGGAAGTGGACATTTATTGTTATAAACTTTAAGAAAATGCCGAAAAATAAATATAGCTTCAATAATACATTAATAATAGTCGACCGCCTATTAAAATCATTCTAAATTACCCCTTATATAAAAAACGTTATATTTTATAACGCCGCTCGAATATATTACGAAGGGCTATACTGTATTTATAGTATATTAAAAGAAATAATTTCCGATAAAGAACTACAATTTATATCTTTATTTATAAATAAAATATTAAAATTAATTGGAACAAAATAGAAGTTAGCTATTGCGGGATATAATTAAATAGCGAGCTAGGTAAAGGTAATAAATGCTTACTTTAATTAATAATTATGGCCGTTCGTTAATTATTACTAAAACGATTAATTTAAAGCTATCCCTACTCTAAATACTATATAAAATAATTTACTGTAAGATAGCATAGGTTTATCCTCTTACGAAATTATATTCGGCTACCTTATAAAGATACTTTTCGATTAGGAAGCCCGTACCTAAAACTTTAATATTCCCCGGACGGACTAATTTACCCGGAAATAGGCGCAAAATTACGCGCAACGTATTCGGAGGTATATTGAATATATTAGAGGGATAATAATAAAGGTATAAGAATATAGGCAGCGTAAATTAATAAAAAAAAGAAAGAGCCTAATTTCGAATTTAGAAATAGGATTATTATTATTAAAAGGCTCTAATTTATAACTACCCAGCCCAGTAATAAATTCGATTTCCCGAATACTTATAACTATTATAAAATTATTGAGAAAGTAGAGTATTCTTACTGGCTAGAATTACTAAAAAATTAGAAAAGTAGTAATGTGTTCTATGCGGACCGCTTACGAAATTATAATAACGATCCGCTCTTAAGGTAAACTTTCGAATACCCTGGCCTAATTAATATAGACGAGGATGGAAATTCCGAATAGGAAGTCGATAGAATTACAATTTCCAAAGTAACTAATAGGAAACTCTTCTACTAAGCGGACTAGAAAAGTTAGGACCCCGATCTAGAGTAGTATCCTACTTCCGATTTCAAGTACGTACCGAAAACGCTTTAAGACTTTTATAAAGCCAACCCGGATACCCCGGACCCGCCCTAATAATTAATAAACTAGTTTAATGAAAACATAAAATAGTATAACGACGACGAGTACCCTAAAGCAGAAGGATTAAAACGTTTATAGCGTATTATAAGGAAGAAATAAATACAATTTACAATATTTTTATATACATATCTAGCAAAAGTCGTAGACGAATTTTTTGTATAGGGGGGGGTAATATAACGGCGTTAATAAATTAAATTTAGGCCTAGGTACTATATACGATAGAATAAAATATATAGAGGTTCTAAGTATAGTACGAGCTAAAGGATATAAACCATTTAATTAGCTATACTAAGACTAATTATAGAGTAGACCCTAGTACGTATAAGGGTTAATCTTATAGGTAAAGGGGATGCGAATGAAGGGATTGGTTAATAGCGACCCGCATATAGGTCCCGCTATCGCTTGTACGACTAGGGTATTTATTTAGGTCTGCACGCTTATACCTAGTTCTCTTCCTCTTTTCTTTTCCCCATTTGAAATCTTCTATTATAAATAGAATCTTAACTTTGCCTTCGACTCACCTATATTGTACCCTTGCAGTAGCCTCATATCATCAGCCGTACGGTTAACTAATACTCCCAATACTACAAATACCTTACTCTTTTCATCGTTAAACTAATTCCAACGTATTCTCCTAACCTCTCGATACTAAGCAATAAAGTAATCCTTATCCTTCAACCGTTCCAATAATAACTTTACAACCTCACTCTATTCAACTCGTTTCTTACCCTCTATCTTTAAACGTACTCTAATAATCATTACCCACTCCTTACAATCTTTCTTAAAGCTAATAATCCACTTACATAGAACAACCCTTTCAATACCTAAATCTTTCTTTTTAATCCTCTTTTACTCTTTCTTTTCTATAATAATACGACTAATATTATCTATTGCAAATCGTAAACGAGTATTACCAATAATAATTAACCCAATTCTCATTACCAATCCATTAATACGAACTTCCTTTCTAATAATCTCTTTAACCTCCCTTCTTCTCCTTCTTCTATTAACCTCTATACTAGAGACTACTATTAATAAAAGACTAAACTATACTTTATCCCGCTTTATCATAACGTACCTAGTTATTAGATTAATAAGTATTTAATTAATTTCAGAACGTTAAATACCCTTATTAACGTATATAGAATATCCTCTAATAATTAGTAGCGCTAAAGGAGGTATAATAACGTTAGACCAATCTTCTTTACTAACTAACTTTTTAAGCAGTATTAAAAGGCTATAATTCTCGTATAATAAGACCATTATATCGTATATTATAGGATTCTTTATAATAGTAAGTATCTTTTACTTCTTTACTATATAAAAGAAATAATTCTCTTTAATAGATTTATACTCCCTCCAATTAAAAGTCTCCTCATTATAGTCTTTATCCAGAAAAACATACTCCTCTTCTTTAATATAAACTCTAGATTAAGTACTAATATAAACGGATTAATTAATTTTAATAATATAATTTCTAAATTAATAGGGTAAAGACTAACCTTCTTTTAAGCAAACTTAATATTATTTTATTTAAATACTATATTACGTATATTATTCAAACTATCGAAGAAAGTAAATTTAATATATTTAATAACGCTATACTTAATTTGCTTAAATATATCCTTTTAATAATAATGTTTATAAAGCTAGAAAATACTAATTTCGAATAGCTATAAGAAATAGGTTAAATAAGGGGGGAGGAGGAAAAGAATAACGTTATTCTTATGACAACGCTCGTAAAATTCGATAGTATAGTAACTACTATAATTATCTAATACTAACAACCACTTCTCCTCGTTATTAAATAATTTAATATATTAATTCTAATAATTAAATTAATATAAAGCAAACTAATTATTAATATACCCTTTTAGTGAGGTAGCGAGAATAATATTATTGTAAAAGCAGTTATCAAAGTAGTTTTTATTAATTTAAATACTTAGTAAAATAATAAATACTAAAATAATCCGTCCCGCTACTAATATAAATTTAATAACTGTTATTGATTTTTTAATATTTAAGTTAGGCATTTAAATCGAAAGTATTTCAATATACGTCCAAACTGTATAACTCTTAATAAGATAACCGATTCAATAACCAAACTTATCCCCATTCCATTAATTATTTATAATAATATTATTATTTTCGACGACTTTACGATACTAATCGAATACTTCCTCTATAGAGCTTCGTAACTATATTACTTTTCGAACCCAAACGAAGGATTTAGTACGTATAATTTTAAAATCGTTATTACAAACTATATATTCTTAAACCTATTATTTATTAATATCGTCTCGCTTGCTATTTACGTATAAAATCTATCGTATTACTACTTAAAATTCTTAATTCATTACCTCCATCCTTATATAAGGTTAATTTAAATGTAATTAATGTTAATTAAATATAAAAAGGGTTGATTAGCTATTAATAACTTATAGTAATATAATGAGATCCTCTTCCTCTAGTAATTTCTTATTATAATTACTATTCTATAACTTTAACTATACACCGTTTATATAACCCTATAATACAAAATATAACGTATTAAATACAATCGAGGCTACCCTAATAGTTTTAAATCAGCCACGAAGGAAAATAGCGACGGCGGTATTAACTACTATATTGACAACGTCTTTATGAATATCCTCTTTATAAAATTTATATTTTATCTTCTTAGGAGGTATTGTAAGTTCGATCGTTAAGGAATATAGTAATCTAATTAAAAATATATAATATAGTTAATAGTATGAAGGAGGATAGATTTTAGAAAGCGCGTCGCGGCTAAGCTGGATTAGGCTGGTATATATGTATATAATATTTAATAATTGATTACGAGCACAGACCTTACGTGTATATGCTAGAATGTTTAAAAACGCTAAAGTTATACTGCAATTTGATTTGCACTATCAAAATAAAGGATATAAAAAAGATAAAATAATAGTTAGATAGAGAATTAAAAGACGAACAATCTAGCGCGTTTATATTTTAAATATACGTATTGTGTGGTTAGGAATCTAAGTGTGAATAACTTTAATATATTTAGCGATATTTAATTAAATCGAGCTACCTTCATTTACTAGTAATTTTGCAGGTAGCCAATGTACCAAAGTTTTGTTGCTAATTGCCCTAGTTTTGCTAATTGCCCTAGTTTTACTAATTGCCCTGCCAGACTATTAGTTTCGGCTAATAGTCTGTGGCGTTTCGAGCCCAGATGAGTAGTTATATACCTGCTCTTTATACCCTCCTTGGTTCGTGAGGCTATTGTCGACTGCTCTCTTTAGTACGTTGAGGAGGGTTATTTCCTGCTTATTATTCTACTGCTATGATTTCTTGGATGCCTTGCTGGTAGGGTTCTTGAGCTTGCGTTGGGAGGGTCGCTGGGAGGAGGCTGTTACTTATGAGGCGGGCACTTGGGAGGCAGGTTGATTAGATTGTATAGATAGGGGTGTTGTAGAGGGGAGAGGAGTGCGTGCGGGTAGCTTGTCAGCTACCTAATTAGTTGTCTGGAAGCTGGCTATTTTGTTGGTAGATCTGGTGGTTTCAATTAGTAAAGAGATATAAAGAAGGTTATATTAATTATCGACCTATAAATACGAAATGTAGTGCCAAGTGCAGAGCTCTACGATTTTAGGGTACCAAATGGCATTCTGAAATGGGGCTCTGAACAGGAATAGGGTGGAGCTTAAAATCTCGGCATTTACCGCAAAATTCCGGTTCAGAATGGTCTGTGCTGTTCCTCTGAAAAGCACTTTAGAGGACCCCTTTCAGAACCCCATTTCAGACGCGCCAAACAGGCCCTAAGGCCCCCTTGCACACCGGTCGGTCTCACAGTCTCGACTCCCTTCTAACGATTGGCTTGGCCGGCAGACTTGTTCCCGTTTAGGAAAGGATGGGTGTGGAGCGGGAAGGTGGGAGGGTGGGACCCTCCTTTGTGTGGCTCCAGGTCTGGCCCCCAGACAAGACCTTCGTTTCTTTTCCAGCCGCATCATTAAATCTCCTTCGGGTTGTCTGGCATCGACATATCGTTATGTCTTGTCCACATTTGTTTGCTTCTGTTCAAGACTCTATAGGGAAACATAATAATACCAATTATCTAAACTCCACTCACAAAGTTCTTGACTGTGTTCCTGACTGTGGACGTCCGGCGGGAGTGCCGCACCTTCCTGTGGATGCGATGTCAACCCGTCCACTTTCCGTCCTCAGAGCACGTCAGCTGTCAGGCCGGAGGTTCCACTGTCTGCTTCTCACAGCGAAGTGGGTCTATTGCGGAAGAGGGGTCCATTCGGACTTTTTCTGGTCGTCAACTTCGTCTCCTCGATTGGGAGCTGTCGTCTAGCGCAATGCTTCGCGTTCCGACAACCTCCAAGCTTCACCAACTCGAGCGACCCAGCTTCTGTTGCATCCGCTATCCCACAATCCGCCCGATGGGGTACACATGATACCCATCCGGTTGAAATGCTTAGCTTTGTCGAGCCATGGGTCCCATGAGAACAGAGCCGACCGGATTAGGGTTGGTACGCAAGGCACTTCCATTTACAGTAAGTAGACAGGAAAAAGCAAGGTGAGCAGCACTTGTGGCTTCGAGATCCCCAGGGCATCATGATCGCATGGAGGCTATCGCCAGGCCCTCCGCAGGGCTCTTCAGATTCGCTTTTCTCCGGAGATTGCAAAGTGGACACATCCAGATATCAACAAGCCGCCACGCCGAAGTTCACCTAACCCTACTAGACCCAAGACGCCATCAACTCATCGCTTCATCCCTGGCTCTCGCCTTGTCTCGGTGGTTCGTCGGTTGCCTTGAGCCGCCGTCCAAGATTACCAAAGCAAGGGACTTGGGTGTAAGTAGGTTAGACTCGACCGTATGTCTCCTGATTCTATGCCAGATTCGTAGTTTACCTGGCCTACCACTTACAGCCGCATAGGATCCTTACTACCCACATGCTATGCAGTACATACATACTGTCCGCAAAGCAAGCTGCACTCGTGGGCTTCTGCCACACCCACTGCACTCGACCACCCCTACCGATACCCCTGTTTGACCACGTTCCGAGTCGGTAGTCGGCCCAGGTACCCCCCCCCCCCCCCTTGCCTTTGGCCGTTGCGAGGGACCGGCCTAAATAGTGTACTGTGTAGTAAAGTCGTGAGAGAAAAAATGGTTAACCAAAAAGGGACAGGCGAGACAATGGACATCTGCACCCCAGTGCCAGGCCCTTCTCGCCCAGGGTTGCTTGCTGCTACAACATCGTCTCCGTCCCCGTTACAGGCACCGCAACCCTCTTGACTGCCCCCTTTGATCCAGCAACGCTTCACATAAAGGGTCTCGTGGTGCCTTCTACCCACCGAGAAACCAGACCACCAACTTGTGTATATAGGCACATCACCGCAGCCGACGCACCAACATTCGCTCACTACCTACGGACCTCTATACGCTTGCATTACAGACAGTTATCCACCACGTATATGCCAGACGCGCCAACTCGCATGACAGCTGCACTGCTTACATCAACAAGAGACACTGGAAGATCGGATATCATACAGCTGCGTTAATCGAGTAACGTGTGGATACGACGAGTTTTGCGACGAGAGAGCGAGACACTCCAACTTTATCACCGACAACCTACCACAACCATCCTAACCAATCTTGGGACTGTTAGGTTGCCGGATTTGGGAGGAAGCTAGTGCACACCACTTCACGATTACTAAACGATCGCCCTAAACGAGATCGAAAGCGAAGAGGAAACCAGTACTTGAGCACACGGCCACGAACTTGGAAACTTGCTCGTTGCTTTGGGAACAAAGGAGAAATTGATACCTTGAGGACTTGTTTTCGATATCAGGAATCGCATTCGGGGGTAAGTTGGAACGTCCAGAGGCTGGTAGATCCACAGCATTGGCATGCGAGTGTGCGCCTTGACTCCGTGTTTCCGTTGTAGAATATCGGATCATGATGGGTTATAGGTCCGGCTGAGTCGATCTTGTTTGTGGTTCCTCAACTAACCATGTACCTTACCTTAGCTCTTGTGGGTCATCGCCGGCGAGGGTATCTCCACGGACGTTGTTTGGTGACTTCGTGTTCAGGGCACGGCCTTGTCAAAGAGAACTTTGGTGAGTGAACGCGATTCAGTTATGTTTCTTCAGTGGCTCTCCTCCCAACCATCCTCCCTCCATTTCAAAGACCCCAACCTCAATGGCGCCCTTCTGATCTACTGCATCATGCAGTCTATGGACCATGTCGTCATTCTGATCTCGGGCGGAGGATCGTAGTCGACACGGACCCCTAGGCTGGCATCGGGATGTCGGACGTGCTGTGGCCGACTGGATGACTTCTCTCGAGTGTTGCACTCTTTTGATGTGTATTAGTTTGATGTCTCCAGTTAACTTCGTCCCATTGTTGCAGTGTCTACGTATGGCACGCTGTGTTGTAGTAGATGGCCCGATTTTCTCTTCCCCACGTCAAAGCTCCCGGAGGTAGTTTGCCTTCCATCCACCACATTTATCATCACGCGTGGAGCTCGTCCGGAAACTGAATGACTCGGCCTTCATATCTTCTGATTCTGCAGTTCCTTCGTTCTAATACGTTGTTGTCTCTTTAGGTTGTGGATTCAATTTGAATATCTCTACTTATCCGTCGTGATTTCAGGTCGGATCTTTCACTCGCTCAAGAGGAACACGAGAGGAAGTTACCGAAGAACCGGACAGTAACGACACTGGTGTTGATCTTCACGTCCAGCAAGTTATATATTCCGACGCACACGGCCTTTTGCTCAGATCACTTTCCTTCTCTTCCCACAGAGCCAGGCCTCAGACAACCTTGGCCACTCGCTATAACCACGCACTTGTGGCCCGCCCGCCGGTGTAGAGCGCCGCTGCACACACACAACATAGCAGACAGTTCCAGGCCATCCGGAGTCTCTGCGTCCAGCTCCCTATCACTCATCACCTCGCTCTCTTTCCCATCAAGGGTTATCCCTTCTCATCTTTCTCCCCCGCTCTTTACCTCCTACAACCAGACATAGGAGGAGGCAAATCAATCCACGAGGACAACCACCTTATAAGACCAAGTTCCAAGGTGCACGACCATCGTCCGCCCGCAAACTTTGTGCTTTGATCTTTCCGTCAAGGAGCACAAACGACCAAAGGAGCAACGACCCGAAGCGCAAAGGCAGTTTCACTTTTGTATGGAACTCTTTCAAATCATGGAAGATCCAGAGAGGCCTCGTCCGTTTTTGTGTGACTGGCAGGGTTGCGGCAAGGTTAGTTACTGAGCACCCCCTTCTGAAGCTTCTTTGCACAGGCCGTCCATCCGTTCGTTTGCTCGCTCGTCTGTCGGTTACTCGAGACCATGGCTCGTGATAGTTTTTTGATACTATCTTCAATCGGTGCTCCTGGTGCCGCATTCCAGCAAAGCCAGATGTTATTGGAAAGGTTTGATCGTGGAGCTTCGCTAACTTATCCCTTGTCGTCCATCTAGCGCTTCAACAGAAAGTCCGATCTTCAGAGACACCATCGCATTCATACAAACGAACGGCCATACGGATGCAACTGGCAAGACTGTGGGAAGCGATTCATCCAACGCAGTGCCCTCACTGTCCACCTCCGAACGCACACTGGCGAGAAGCCTCATCAGTGCGAAGTTCCTGAATGCAGGAAGCCATTTGCCGACGTAAGTTAAATTCGCTGATCGCTACTCGAGATAGGGGACTGAATCGCTGACTTCGTATGTTCAATAGTCCTCGAGTTTGGCCAGACATCGTCGTATCCATAGGGGAGAGAAGCCATACCGTTGCCAAGATGTTGGCTGTAACAAAGCGCAAGTGTTTCTCGCGATTCCAAGCACAGTTCCTTGACGATTCTCCATTCCCTTCCTCATGTCGCCCCCCCATCTGCGGCACTAACCGCCATTTTAACAGTTTCTGCAGAAAAACGACCAGAGACAAGCACCATACCAACTCCCATCGGGGTGGTATCAATCGCTCCATGACCCCCAGGCAGCAACTACACCCTGGCTTCGGCTCTGGGTTCGACCAGTTCCACATGTCGGCACCGCCCGACCTTACGGCCAGCACCGAAAGTAGCCCGGCTGATAGCACTGCCTACTCGCCAACTGCTTTGGAAGGTGACTGGTCCAACCAAGGTTTCAACAACTATACACACCTGCCAAACTTGCAGGAAGCGTCGCTCGCCCTTCAAAACCAGATCAGATCGCAGCAGATACCACAGCTTATGCCCTATATGCCGTCGAGGGTTATGCCTTCATACTCTGCGCCTCCCTCAAACATGATGGCCCAACAGATGCCGCAGCAGGGGAACTTCGGCAGCTACTCACCTTCGCCTGTAGAGTCTACTCAACAGCAGCCATGGGCAACAGGTCTCCAAAACAACCAGCGCCAGTACCAGCGTGTTTTGACCTCCAACGAGACCGCTCCCAGAATGTTTTCGCCCTATCCGGCTCCACCCAACATGATGCCCGGCCAGAATGACTTCAATAGTCAATACCCGCCTCCTCAACAGCAGCAATCATGGGGCATGCCTCAGAACCAGGGTCAGCAGGAGCAGCGCCAGTACTCACTGCCTTCCCCGTCGCAGCCTATGACGCCAGTGCCTGTTTCTGCGGGAACCGGAACCATTCAACAGCTGCAGCCGATGCCGGGCAACATCTATGGGGCGAGGCTCGTCGGTGATGATCTCGGCGATCATTTCTTCAAGGTCGAGGCGACTGCTGATGATAGCAATCCGGGAATGACGCTGCCGGATGCGAGGTTTGCTGGCATGTAAACATCGCGGTCGGTCGATCGGTCGGTCAACGCAGATTGCGGTCGCCTTTTCTCTTTCTCTTGACTTTCGGAGTTTGTTTGTACGGGGTTTTCCCTGCTTTCTTTCCCTTCGTCTTTTGATCATTTGGGTATGGGATTTGGTGGGGTCTTTTGCATATGAGATACCTGATGTTTCAACACACACGCGCACACACACACTTGTTTGCATAGGGGTGGGAAGGAGTGTTGCTTTTGGTTGTTTGTTTTTTTTGGCTTGGTGGTTGGCGTGAAACTTTGACCTTCACTTCTTTGTAACTTCTTGTCTGCTAGGATTTGGGGTTCAGGTTTGCTTGAGATCGATCTTGTATGTATATCAAGGGCATGACATAGCATCACATGACATGACCATCATGGGTTATGGAAAGGTATGAAGGGACTGAAGGGATTGGATGAAGGGAAGGGAAGGGGGAAGAACAATTGGTTGGGCAATGCGACCCGGATATACCCCAGGGATATTGGACTGACTGGACTAGGGCAAACCGGGTGAAGGAAGTGATTCGGGATAGGATTTTGAAGTAACAATGAAGTAACAGAAGCACATATGTAATGAGAACTTAAGTCAGAAGACATGTATGGGTGCAAGAAGACGATGTGTTCATGAGTTGAACATGTTTGCTGAATGGAGAAGTGGGTTTTGACGTGGGTTGAGTTTGGGATAGGTAGGCAACACCAGGGAAATGGGATTCTTTGAGCTTGCTTGGGTAGATGTGACACAGGTGTTTGATGGTGGATGGATGTACTATATGATATAGGCACAGTGTTTCTTCTGATCTTCTCCTCTTCGTGCAATAATACGTCTTTTCCAAACCGACCTAGCAGAGAGGCTTGGAAAAGACGTATTATTGCACGAAGAGGAGAAGATCAGAAGAGAGCAGCGAAAATTCTGTTTACTTGTATGTGTAACAACTTGTTCACAATCCCTTCAAAGGAGACTTTCTCGATGCCTGGCCTTCCTTGGCCTGGAGACAAGACGAAAGTGTGCGCTTGCTGGGCTTCCAACAACTTGTTCTAATCCTTGAGTATCTCGGAACACTTTGAAGTGCGCAACTTGCTTCGCTTATTGACAGTAATATTTGTGAGATGACTGCACTTGAAGAAAAGCAAAGCAAGGCAAGCGGTTGCAAGAAATCAACAGATAGACAATTAATCCAAATCTCAGAATAGAAGATGAAAAAAAAAAAAAAAAAAAAAAAAAAAAAAAAACTAAGATCAAGAGGAAATCAGAAAAGAAGCGCAGGGCTGAAAAGGAAAAGGAACAAAGCATGAATGGCAAAATAAGAAGAGTTGGTGAAACGAATGAACAGGAAGGAAAAAAGACAAAAAGACTGCGGTTTGTGTGGATCGAACACACGACCTTCAGATTTATGAGTGAAGTGGACTTCAGTCTGACGCTCTCCCAACTGAGCTAAACCCGCTTGCTTGAAATGTCTGGGCAGTAGTGGATCTTATGACACATGCTGGATTTGAGTCGTAGCCGCCACCAGCGGCTGGGTCGCTTATCTTTGACAGTGATTGAGTATGACATAGCCATTTGTGTGTTGTTTGGGATGATGGCGATAAAACTTGGCAGAATTCGCCGAGGGGTTGAAATGGGAAACTAGAAGCAAAAGGATAAGACGATAAGAAGGGTGAACGAGGAAGTGGAGATGATTGAACACGGACTGAGGGTTGCGTGCCGACTTGATCTTGTGGTTCAACCACTCATTCCCACGACCAGAGAGCAAACGATGAAATAGAAAAACCCCCCCAAAAAAAAAAACCGAAGAGCGGAATCCATAGGGGAAACGAGGAAAGGGAAAACATGCCAGCCAGAAACGAGGAAGGGGAAAAAAAAGAAAAAAGAACATACAACACCTGGGATTCGCTGGTCGTCACCGACCCAACTACTAGTCAGACGATTGGTAGCTTATCTATGGGAGAGCGGACGGGATCCCGAGTTTTCTACCATCTATGGTCGTATGTGGTTGTTTGTGTCTGGATGTCAAGTTATATGTCTCGGCCCGCGGGTAAGGTTTCTGTTTCCTGGATATGTATGGGAATGGTAGTGGGACTGGTGATGGCGATGGTGATGGCTTGGTTTGATCTGGTATTTGTGCACTTTTGGATCCGGAGCCATTGGGCGGAGCCGAGAAAATTTAGGATTACACCGATAGTTTTTTTTGGGTGTAGTGGTGGTTCAAACTGCGTGGCCGTTGGCGGGGATCTATCTGGTCTCTTGGGTTCCTAGGAGTAATTGCGTGCAACAGCCGGCACCCCGTGAAAAAGGAATTAAGGTAGTCAGCTGAGATGGGTGTTCGGAAGATCATATCGGGAATTTCGAGCTTGTTCGAGGGGCAAGCGGATTTGGATTCGAGGACTGGGGGACTGCGTCAAAGAAGGGAAATGTCGAATGGGGCTGGCAGTGCTTGAGGGGTACCGATGTAGGCCGAAGAGGATGTTATTTGAGTGGTATGTCGCGGGTTGTTGTCGTTATCGTTGTCCCCGGTGCGCGCACCCTTGGCCTTGTCCCTGACTCCCTGACTCTATCCTGTTGCCCTTGCTTGACCCTCCTATCGACTCGGCTGTTCCCGTGGCTTTTCCTTTGGATCAGATATTTCTGTTGCTCGTTGTCGCTTGTGCTCACACTATCGCTGGTGTTTCTGTCTTGCTGTCGTCCCTGTTCCCCCTGGTCGTCGTCGTGTCCTGTCCCTCTTCTTGACTGTCACCCTATCCCATCCCTAGTCAACGTTCTCCTTTGTTGACGCCATCTCTTGTCAATCTCTTTGCCATGGCGGCTCCTCCGATGTCGTTCTTGACTGTATCTGGTTTCTGTCATGGCTGATCGGTATCGAGTTCAGCGCTCGGGTCGGAGTTGTGCATGGAAACATCATCGCTCGGTGATCGATAACGGGGAAATGTGACGGGACAAGGTAGTCCCATCTTTTCGGTCCTTCGCTCGTGATGGTTTCGTTGCTGACTCCAACTTCTTCCTAGTTACCACCTGTCGGGATCTCGTGGCTCTCCAAGGAACTCGATGACGGAAGAGGGTGATGCCAACATATGGGTGCCTCGGCTACCGTGGAGATGGGCAACAATTTAGGAAATCGAATAGCACCAGAGTGGTCGGAAATAAAACAGCCCAGACGACAACAGGGCATGGAATGGTGGTTGAAAAAGACGGATAGAGACAATAAACTGCTCCGAAAGATGTGCAGACGTTGGAATGCTGCAAAAGAGAAAACCAACCAGAAGATTTTTGAAACTTCGGAGTGTGAGAAATTTCAACTCTGGAGTCCTCAATCGATCGTCAGTCAAATATTTCATTTGATGAAGATGGTGGGAGACGATGGTAGACTTACCTTCAGTACATGCCATCACATGTTTCACATGTTAGCTGCCTCCGCAATGCCGATCTTTGGATGCCGCGGAGTGCGGTACTCTTTGCAGCGGGGTGCATTAGCTGCACGGAGACGGTTGAGACGCTTGCTTCCGTATGATTCCGCGAGGTGAAGGTTTGCCGATGCAGGCTAGGAGTGCAGGAGGCTTCTGCATTTGTCTTCTTTGTTCAAGACTTTCTGGGTTCCGATATCTCTTCCTGAGTATCCGATGATCAACAGCCTGGCCAACTGCGGGATCCCGGTAAGAGGTTGTTCACTTCACTTGAAGTTGGCTCGAGTTGACGAGGAGCTGACTCGTGAAAGGAAGGATGAAGGGTGACTGTTTATGTATTTGAGTGTGGTATCCGGGAGTGAATGTGGGAGGCTCGGGACCGAGAGTTCATGCCGGACGGGAGAAAAGCACTATCCCTCCAAGACCAAGATTTGTAGACAGTTGGGATCGAGTCCTAACCACAGCTCTTCATGAGTCTTACTATGCCAGTGTCACGGAGCGGAAGGTGGCTAAGCACCCAGTGCTGAAAAGGGAACCGAGACATGATATATTGTACGTAATATCTCGGGGAGGTGAAGAGCAGTGCAGTGCCAGCTTGACACAGCCTTCTTCACTTGAGGAACTGAGGAAAGATGGAACAGGGAGGGTGAAGAAGATCTGAAAAGAGAAGGCAGGAGAAGAGAGGGAATAACTGAACGATCAGAGGGAGGGGGCCTCGTGATTAAGAGGAGAAGATGGTGCAGTTGGGCTGGTGTTGCTGCGTGACGACCTGAAAGAGGAATGGTAAGCGAACGAGATAGATCGTCTTTGGGGACAAAGCAAGCGAATAAGCGAGAGTCGATACCAAGGCTCAGCAAGCGAGCGGGAGTATCAAGAAGGAATGCATATGCGATGGGGTTCAGAAAAGGTCCCACCACCGAACCGCACCATAATCCCCAAGTAGGCGAGAGGCCCTGAGCGCAAGGAGTGGGAAAAGGCCCGATAATGCGGATTTCCATGTTGATTCCGATGTTTTGATTGGAAAGTGATTGAGATATGTCACCTGTTGTTTGTACGAATCGTCGGAAAGAAGAGCGAAGGTTGTCTGTCCTGGAGGCTGCCCCTGATTGTGCACTAGCATGGCAGTAACAGACGTGGGGGGAAAACGCACAGTTACATATTAGCAAGTGATAGGATACCCATGTTATCGTCCACCAGATGGCGACCAGTTCAGTCGTAGATGTTGAAAGAGTGTTGCGGTCCAAGTGAATGCAAACTGACTCGATTGAAAACTTGCAGCAGAATGATCGACGAAATATCAGATTACGGGTTGGAGATCCATCTGTACATGAGTGATGTTGGGTGGAAGCAGGCATATATCCAGTTTTGGAGTTTGGGGTCAAAAGCGTGGAATTGCCCTGTACATAAAATCGTCTTTTTCCTTGGATAGTGAGCACCTTTACTCAACTAATCCTGTACAGTTTTGGAAGCGAACGCCAAGGATGGAGTCGGCGATGGGCTTGACGAGTCTTGGCACGCTAAACCTTCTGGAAGAACGGGCACGTCACCTTCTGCCGGGCAAGTCCAGACCCAGTTCGTCACCGTCTCCACGAGCAAACGTCCAATTGATCAATCAAGGTACGATAAAACCATCAGGGGTCGTCGCCAAACCAAAAAAGAGCAATCACGAATCGCAAAACCGATCGATCGAAAAGGGGTTGATCGCATCTTCTTCACAAACACATCCATCCATCTTCCGTCGTCGGCGCATTCATTCGCACTTCCATCCTTAAACCTCCGATCCTAGAACCCGCCCGTCCCGAAATCATGCGCCCGTCCAGCGTTATCCTCGCCGCCGTCGGCCTGACAGGGACCGCCCTCGCCCACGGCGACCACGGCAGCGGGTCGCAAAAGCCCATTGTCGACGAGAACGCCCCATGGATGGTCAAGCACATGGCTGGTATGTTTTCCACAGCCCATGTCTCACGGCCCGTCAGCCGCTAACCAATCCCTTGCTTCCAGAGGAACACCACATCGAAAACTTCGACGCCGCCTCCTTCTTCGCTCTGCACGACTTCGACGGCGATAACACATGGGAAGGTCTCGAGATCCTCCGCACATACGGCCTGATGGACGATTCCAACAAGCACGTCTCCCAGCCCAGGAGAGACGAGATCGTTCGCGACATCCTCAACTTGATCGACTACGATCGCAACGGCGTCATCACCAAGGACGAGTTCGTGCGCTTCATCGACGTCGAGAAGAAGACGCTTCCGGATATGGGTACGGGGCCGGGACACCACGGCGATGCTGAGTACGAGTACGAGATTCATCACTGGGAGAAGTGAGTTTGTCCTCTACCTCCAAACTGAGGTCGCAAAAGGGGGCGGCGCAAAACCCGCCGTCTTTGTGCCAAGACATGATGTCAGAGACTAACGATCACTTGCTGCAGGTACCACGACGACAACACCAAGCTCGAAGACCTTACCCACCCTGAAGACATTGAACATTTCAAGAAGCACGAGGAGATGGAGCTCGAAGAGGAACGGTTAGCCCAGATGGACAAGATCGCCATCATCGAGGAGAACATCCCCGCCAAGTTCCGGCGGAGTGGGTAAAGACGACCCTCCTCCCTAGTTGCTCGATCTGCGTGCACGATTTGATTTTTGCCCGGCGCATATGAAGAGGATCAGGACTGGATATTTAGACACGGATGGATGCTTGTTTGGAAACGGATCTTATGTTGCACACATATATGTATAAACTCATGAATTGCCAACCCGCGCATTGGCGAAGGGGTTACGACGAACCGGACCGTCATGTTGGACGACTACCACTACCACTACTACTTGTACTAGAACTCCTTGTAATGTATACATCAAAGACGCAATGCCACACATCTGGCGCAAACGTCTTGACGAGCTCTACATGCTCCACCACCGCCTTTGTCTCAGTCGTCCCCTCACTGCCATCCAACTCTTGATTCCATCGATCCATGATCCCCTGAATCTCCCCCCTCCGCGACTCAATATCCTTCACATGCACATTCTCATGTAAATGCAACCACCCATCCCCCACCCCCTTCCCCACCACAGCCTCCCACGAATCCCTCCAGCTCTTCTCACTAGTAGGCAAAAACCCACCATTAACATGGATCACATCCAACTCCCCTCCCTCTTCCCTCAATTCCCTCACCCTCCGCCCCGCACTCTCATTCCCATCCAAAAATACCACAACCTGCACCCCCTCCGCATCCGCCTCTCTCAACATCTCCCCCGTCGTTTTCTTTGTCAGATCTTCCTCCCCCTGAAACACCTTGACGCTCCACTTATTCGCCAGCGCACCCCTCCGCAGTCCCTCCACGCTCCACGGGTTGATCTCCCAGCAGAGCACGCGCATCCCCAGCTTGGCGTAGGAGAAGACGAAGTATCCTATGCCGGCGTAGAGGTCTAGGGCGTATTTGTCCTTTAGGGTGGCTGGTGGTTTTACCCGATGGGTCAGGTTTTGTTGTGGTGATGGTGCTGCTGCGTTGGTGTTGGTGGGCGCCGCTGCGCTAGTGAGAGAGCGGTGGTGGTGAAACTCCAAAAGCCTAGCCTTCTCCTTCACATTTCCCCTCGAGAACATGGTATACCGCGGCGCCCAAATCTGGGTAATCCCATTTTGCTTGGTTGACACCCAAAACGCTTCGCCAAAATCTTGCGGCGTAGGTAGGGCGGCGGTGGGTGACAAGGCGGGACCGAAGTCGCCGTGTAATAACTTTAGTCCCGAGGGCGATCTTAGCAAGTTCTCTTCTTCTTCTTCTTCTTCACCCTTCAAGCCAGCTTTCGCATCTTCAGCAGCGTCGGCAACATGATGCAAAGGAATCCCCTCATTAACAGCCAACCTCGTCAACTCCGCCTTTGACGCTCCTCCATCCCTGGTGATGTTGGCCAGGATCCTGGTCCACAACGAAGATTTGATGTCGGAGGAGAGAGAGTCGAGCAGTTGAGGCCAGGGAGAGGCGGTGAAACTTCCGCTGGGGAGAAGGACCATGGGCTCGTAGATTACCCACCGCTTGGGCGCTTTGTCGAGGAGGAGGATTTCGAGCTGTTCTTCATCCTGAGTAGTTTCAAGAGGTGAAAGTAGTGCGGCGAGGGAGATGGATTGTCGCTGGTCTTGGAGCCATGAGGTGACGGCGGCCGTGATGGGGTTTTCCTTCTTTTGTTTGGGTGCTTTGGGACCCCGTTCTTTTCGCGGTTTCCTCTGATGTTCGTCTTTGGAGACGACGGTGGGTGGTTGTTGTGACATGTTGTTGCAATTGCTTTGAATGTGGAAGTGTGTTTGGTGATTGGTCAGGTCTGGTGGACTGGTGTCACTGTCTGTGGGTGGTGTCTGTGAGGTGACACGGCGTGCAAATAAAGTTTGTGGATGGGACCGGGCTACAAACGTCGGTGTCCGGGGTCCGGGGAGTTTGGCGAGTTGGGGAACGGCCCGCCGGTGATGCAGGTACACGGAAGATCGGCGGCGGGGATGTTGGCGTGCGGGTGAAAAAGTCGGAGGGGCCGCTTTGACCCTAACCCTATGAAAGATGGAGACGAACTTCAATCTCGTGAATGCCAAGAAACCCGGTCGGGGTCATGGGAAGGCCGTGGTTATCAACATGACGGTCGAAAGCATGTCACAATGCCATTAAACGCTGTTGTAGTCCTGTAGATCTTCTCTAATCTATGAATCTCCAATTTGAGAAAGATCTTGAACATGATGTTGTCCATTCGAAAAGAATATTGCCATGGGAGGTAACTAGAGCCTGGTGCTACTCTACTAACAGAAGTCCTCACATGTATCGCGTGCTGCTGATAGTATCGCATCTAGTTCATTTCATAACCAAACGCGCCCTCGATTTTTGTCCAGCACGACTACGTGGATCACAACGCAAGGTTTCGAGTCATAATTAACCAGTAGTTCAGTCAGTGAGATCATGATACATAAGAGTTCGGAGGGGTCTCGGTGCTCGGAAGACCGACAAGCGACCGGGCCCTGCGACGCAGCAAAATGACGCCCACTGCCATGCATCAGTCTTGGAAGAGATATGCCCATCGGCACTCATGCATGTGGTGTTGGAATCAAGGAAGCGTCCACAAGTACTTAAAGCCTCAAATCCCCTCCCAAAATCCAGAATGTTTTCTCCCTTCCATCATTCCCCATCCACATCCACAAACCTCAGCGAGTTGTTCCCTTCCCCTTCCCCTTCCCCCTTCCTTCCCCCACCACCCCATCCTCTTTCACCTACCCCTCCACCTCTGTCCTTCATCTCCCCCCGTGCACTGTTTTCTTCCTCATGTCCCCACCCAAAGGCAGAGAAGCACAACGAAAAAAAGAGAGGTCATAGTCAGGTAAAACCTGAAGGTTTGCCACCAAAAATTGTGCCCGGACTACTTTACCCAGGGAGTTGGCCCTGGGGGTGAGGACTACGCGTAGTACAAGCAACCTTACGGCTGCCTACTGTGAGAGATTCTGGAGCCTCCCACAGTCGGGTCCTAGCTTGAAGAAGAGAAGAAGAAAGGATCGGAAATATGATGGGGGATAGGGAGATTATATAGGCAGATGAGCCGGTCTGTGCACGAGTGCAAGTTTTGGAAACTTGGGCGGGTCCAACTGTCGGGCAAGGAGAGAAAGAATGGCCAGGGAAGTTGTTGACGATGTTGTTGACATATACAGTGGCCTTCGGGGTGGGTGTGAATGGCAGGAGAGGTTCGGGAAAGAGAAGTCACGGTCGGCGAGCGGATGTCACGACCACACGAGCTCACTTCGATGCCACCAGGGGCATGCATCGACTACTCCCGCCAACTCTCAGTCTGTCTTCGAAGGGAAGGAGCTGGCTACGAACACCTGAAGGGTAAGTTTGATTCAGCTTCTTCCTGTTACATTCAAGCCCTTCCTTCCTCCCACGGGAGGTCTTCATCTCGGCACCCGGCAAACCTCACCTTCCGTCCAGCACCATCAGCGGTTCCGGAGATGACTGACAGCGCCCACCACCAAGACGAGGCGAGCAGAGACACCAGTCATGACAAAGTCCCGGAGCTGTGACCTCGCGATCTCAGTGTCCTTTCTTGATCATGACCCAAGTCCACCAGGCCTGCATGGACATCACAGCTAAGTACAATCATTTTCTTCCTCATGTCCCCACCCTCAAGCAGAGAAGCATAACGAAAAAAAAGCAGTGATCAGGAAAAATCCCGAGAGGGTGCCACCAAAAATTGTGTCCGGACCTACTCGCCCAGCGAATTGGCACTGGGGTGGGAAAAGTAGTACAGGCAACCTGGACCAGGTTGGCTACCAGGTTGGCTACCGCGTGAGATTCTGGAGCTTCTCGCGACCGGACCTAGCTTGATCAGAAGAAGAGAAGAGGAGAGAGTTTGCAAACATTGAGGGAGGCTGGAGGAGATTATATAGGCAGATGAGACGGTCTGTGCACGAGTGAAAGTTTTGGGGTTTGAGTGGGTTGAGGTGAGAACGGGTTGGTTGGAAGGCGTGATGTTGACGGCGTGGCGTTGGTGGAAAAAGGGAAGGTGGATGGCATCGATTGAACCGAGAGGGTAACTCTGGTGTTGATGTTAGGAGGGGCGACGCACGATGGGAGCAAGGGAAATCGGGAGAGCAGAGGATGAGCCAAAGCGGGAAGAAGAGGATGCGTGTCAAGGAGGTGAGTTTTGACTTGTGATGGAAATCGAAGATGTTAAAACTGGAATGTTTTGGGTCATCGCCGATGGCATAAAAGGTATTGGGGAAGGAGCATGCTAACCTTGGTGCAGGCACTCACCACATCCAATCGGGGATGCTTGCGGAAGCTCCCTCAGGCGATCAAGTGCCGAGACTGGCAACGCGCGATGGGCACTTTCCTCCGGCCATTTCAAGCAGGTACGTTCCGAGATTTCAAAGTTGATCTTGTGATCATGTCATTTCTAACAATGAATCTAAAGCAAGTACAAGCGGCGAAACAAGGGAAAAGATGACAAACAGCAAGAACATCCAACAAACAGAACCATGGGATGAACGGAAGTCAACTTCCAGTCGAGACTCCTCTCCCGACCACCCATCGTGCCTACTTCGTTTCAGTCTGCACACGTTCCAGACCCCTTACCCAGTTCACCAAACTCTCAAAAAGGCCATTCGGTAACAACCACACGAGGTACCTGGTCAAAGATGACGTCCCACCGCGCCAGATCACACCATTTTTTCCACTCTCAATATCAGCAACCATTGATCTGGGAACCACGTTGACATCCATGGATCCCAGCTGCGCCAGTCCCTTCCTGATATCACTGATCCGATCAAAGACCTGCTGATAGTACGAACCCTCCGGCAAGACGAGATCGCTGGCCTTTGAGTGGATGGGCGTGTGGACAGCAACTGATCACAGCAGTGATGACACGCACTCCTTCGGCACGGAGGGTAGCCAATATGCTGTTCATGGCTGATTTGGAACTGCTGTAGATGCCTTAGCGGGAGAGACTTACCAGCCCAAGCAAGCGGCATCACACTCGCAACACTGCTATGATTCACCACCACTCCCTTTGCCTTGATCAATACCGGCGCAAAAGCCTGCACCATCCCCAATACGCTCCAAACGTTCAGATCATAAAACCGCTTCGCATCATCGATATCCACGTCCAGCAACGGCATGACGTAGTCGGCACCAGCATTGTTGACCAGCACGTCCAGCTTTCCACCGGTGCGCTTTTGCACCTCGGCGGCGCATTGCTTGATGGAGTCCAGGGAGGTCACGTCGAACAGGAGGACTTCGATACCGGGTGTGTTCTCGAGAGAGGGTCCGCCTTTGGAGGAGTTGCGGAGAGTGGCGAAGACTCGGTAGCCTTTGGCGGCAAAGACTTTGGCCATGGCGGAGCCGATGCCGCCTTCGCTGCAGCCGGTGATGAGGACGGTCCTTTTGGGATGGGGTGGTCATGATGGCTTTTGGGCTTTGGTTTCGGGCTGAGATGGGACTTGTGAGATTGGAAGAATTTGGGAACGGATTCTCCTTGAGTGAAAGCTGTGATGGATATCGTCAGGTTTGCTTGTCTGAAGATTTCCAGTGGTGTTGAATGATCTTTTATACAGAAGGCACACCGTCTCCAAATCATCTAAATCCTATAGTCCGCGATATGATATTCGTGATTCTCATTCCGTGTTGTTCCCATGTTGAGCATTTCAAACCAACATCACGTAGTGATTGCTGAGCCATTTTGCGATGTCTTGTTAGTTCCCGGAGGTAGCATTGCCCCAGGCGAAAGGTCAGCACCGTTGGTTCATCCGCATCACTGGGTTCGTAAGCTCGTGTTTCCCCGCGAGCGACGGGGACGGTTCATCCCGTCCCGACAAGACGCAGCGGCCGAACCAATACGCCGCTTCTGCCTGTTGACAGCTGTTGGTCAATCTGCCAATCAAATGTTCGGGAAGGAGCCTCGAGAGTACGTACCTTCCGCCTTGTCATGCATTTCACTTTTTTCACACAAAGTGCAATTTGCAATCTCCGTTTCTTCAGTTCCCTTCTCCATCTCCTTCTCCGCCTTTTGCTCTTTTCCACACTTTCTCGCTTCCTCGCTTCCTCGCTTTCTCTCCTCTGAGTTAAGCTTAACCAACCCTTCCCACATGCTTGTTACATTTTGCACAGTCTTATCGCTGTTTGACTGCAAAAAAAGACCACATCCAGCACTCTCCGCCCCATCGGCCCGCACTCGTACACGTCGTGACCAGTTCTGGTCTGGCTCTTCGCGATCCTTTCGCTCCTGACCATGAGCAATGCTCGACAACTATCGACTTACTCCGTAACGACCGCACGGCCGCACGATCGCTTCATACGATCGCAGAAAATTGGCGGAGAGGAACCATTGTCGATTTTCAGCGAGAAACATATGCACGAAAGCGGGTATAGAAAGCGAGAAGCAAGGAAAGAAACGAATAAGTCAACGCCGCTAGGAGACGCCCTCATCACCCTTTGCACACCTTACCCAGAGGTATGTTATCTACCTTGTACATTCTTCTTCCAGTCTGCAGTACAGTTGGCTTGCCTATTTCTTTTAACACATCTCGCGTTTTCTCCATCAGCTCTATGTCATACCCTGCAAGCGCGGTCAGCCTCTGTTCATTATATCCGGCGAGAAGTCGAGAATCAGACGGGAATTTCCGCTCCGAGTTGAGCAGGAAAGGGTTGCTCACCTTGTCTCGCCATGAGGGCTATCACAAATGGAAGCTTCTCTTCCCGGCCTGAAACCCGAGAAGTATAAGTTATTTCGTCAACTGGATGCGTGTGTCACTGTCAGTGCCAGTGCTCTTGACGAGTCATGTTGGCTTTTTTGGAAGTTGGGGAATATGCCTACTGGGAACAGCCAGAACCGGAGACTTCATCACTGGCCCCAATGCTAGTGCGTTTACTCCTCCTTGAGGTGGTCGTGGAAATCTGGAACCCGTTCACGGTGGTCAGCAACAAACGCCTTCACTAAGCGGCCACAGCGGCAGGGGCTACGGGATACTCACGTTGGGACTTCATCTCGATACCTTGGCTCCATCTTTTCCAGTGGCATCATGACAAGCGCATTGAAATGCTTTCCATTCAAGATCGTCTTGTTGAACCATTTGCGGTAGACACCCATCTTGTGGAAGCCACGGTCTCGCTCTTCCTTGCTCATCCCCTTTGCCAACTCCCACATTCCCTGGTTTCGGGGAGAGACGTATGGTGTGTGTCCAAACTTCTCTTGGTACCTCCTGCGGAAGTCTTCAAAGTTATGATACGCGTCGTAGGATTGAACTTCTATCGCCTGGAGTGGAGAGTTGAATGTCAGATGAATATCTGGTACTTGCACACCCCGCACAGCCGCTACTTACATCCTCTATATACTCTCGAAGTGAAAGTCCTTGGGCCTCTTGTGGGGGAGACACAGCCCAAGTATCCTGGAAGGAAAAGGTCAACAAAGTCGACGCTCAGGATGGATCCCATTCTACGGGCAAATTCTCGCGCACTGTTGACTTGTTGTGTATCATCGATGATACTCCAAAAGTCACTGGCCCAGATAATGGAGGTGAATGGCTACCGAGAGTCAGTGCAAGTTCGCTTGGCAAGGCAGAATTCGAGCTTGTCTTCCTTGCCGACAGGGATTGGAGTATACCTTTGGTTCCGCCACCATTTTCTCCATATCCAGCCATTGCATAGCGGAATGTATACATCGCTGCAGATCCCTTCCCAAAAGACCGGCCGTATCCCATTCCCTAAATCCCTGCTGGTCAGCCCTATACACTCAAACATCTCATGTCGTACATGGTGACTAACTTGCAAAGCGGTTCGATTCCCTCTCCACTAACGGCGCCCATAGTGGGACGTAGGCCGAAGCAACCGCACCAGAGGGCCGGTCTAGTGACACTGCCCCAGGCTGTCGTCCCCGCGTTAGTTTCATCTTTATCAACTCGTCGCACAATTTGGCATGGGTAAGGGGTACTGAAGAACCTACTATCTGTTCCGATGGCGATGTCAAGCCAGTCATAGGCTGCAACAGCCGCCGCACTGCCGGAACTACTTCCGCCCATGGACTGATATTGATCGCCACGTGGGTTCCAGGGGGCTTGATAATCGGTGTACTCAATGGGCTCCTCCCAATTGGCAAACGAGTTCATCTTTGTCTCGCCGACGACTATTGCCCCCTTGTCAATCAGTTTCTGGATGCATGGTGCGATTTCCTTGCTGGCATCATACACATCGTAGTATGCCCTGTTTCCTTGTGAAGTCTTTGTTCCTTTCAAGCGAATGTTATCCTTGACGACTATTCTCCACCCAGCAAGAGGTTTTGACTCGAAGTCAACAGTGTCTCCTGTCTGCACCTTCGATGGAAGAGCAAAGCTCGGGAACTGATGGCGCGTACCAATCCAGTGAAGAGGTTGAAAAGACTCGGATGGGCTAGAGTACCGCTGGTTGTTAGCAACAATTTGCATCCCCGCGCTGGCTCCTGCGTACGCGTATCAGGCATTGAGGTGAGCTCACTCAGATTTGGGTGCCACTGTCACCATACATGTGCCATATGTGTCGTCTTCAAGTTTCCATACGTCCCTCATCTGATTACCCGTCTTGTAATACGGTCCTGGCGGGAGATCGACGGCATCTGACCACAGTATTATATCCCGGGTCCCCTGTTCAAAGAGATACTTCTGCGCCTTTGGACTGATCCTTGGCTTCTTCTTGCCCCCACCCTTAAAGATAACGGTCTCAAGGAAGGAGATGTGGAAGACACCATCACTGGCTGTGTAGTTCTCGACAGCGTTCGTGATCCAATCCAGCGTCACGGTCTCATTAGCACCTTTATCAGAGGCTGGGACCAGAAAGACAGTAGCGAGACTACGGCGAGTGGATTTCTTCCTGAGCTTGTCGAGACGGCTGACAGGAAGAAGCCGACATGGAGTGGGGGCAACCGCATAGACGCTTGTTCCTATATTGAATGTCCCGCCATGGCCAGAGATGCTTGACACTTTGTCTTTATGTCCGGTAGCCTCGGCGTTTTTGAAGTAGCCGGTGCGTTTAAACCACGGTAAATGGCAAATGAGTGACAGCCTTGGCATCTTGAGTGAGAGAACAATTGCCGGTTATTCGAGTAAAAAGTAACTGTTTTTACGGATGTTAGTGAGCGTCGCTAATTCTTTTCGGCTTCTTAGCCGTTGTAGAACCCATATTTGGACGGGAGGCGATGTGCGTGGAGTGGTTAGGTATGGAATATTGTATCTCTGCAATGCGCATACAGTTTGTGGGTCAATCCTTCACGCACTGATCGTCTTCAGTGGGTATTAAACCGGGTGTTTCGCGAAATATTTGACTGTTGTTCTTCGAGTGCCAAAGAATGTCGATAGAAAGACTGGGGTTGTTCGGTCCAATGTCGGTCGTTCGGCTGAGAAAACACTGAGTTGCAAATTTTTGACAGGCGCTGCAAGACTGTGTTGGACTTCACCATCGAATATCAACAGATAAACAACAATACGGGATCATGAAAAACACAATATGACGCTGTAAGAGAGAAAGCACACGTGGAGTGGACAAAAAGGCCAGAGTGTCGGAAATCGGTACCTCGGTGGGATTGATGAGGAAAAAAACTGCCCCCCTTCTCGCACTCGCTTTTTCTCCCACCGCTTCTGCCATAGTACTCGTCCAAACCGCTTTTGTTCTATATGCAGGAGCTAGGCTCCATGGTGGGATGATATGCGCGATCCTAGCTGTCACTTGCATGCCATCTCCCGGCTTGCGGTGAGTAGGGGTCCAAGTACAATACGCCATTCCTAGACTGGAAGACACCGATTCTAATATAAGTAGAAGTACTCAACTACTGCGCATAATATAAAGGGATAGCACTCTAGATCTCATACCGTCATTGTCTCAACTAGTTTTGCCTGTTCAAGTGGCGTTTCAAGTCTTGACGAGTATCGCATTCAACCCCTTACTTCAAAGTTTGAGAGCCTCCCCCCCCTTTACATACCAGGTTTTTATTTTACTGTAACTGATCGGGTAGGCATGCAAACTCCCTCGTGAAACCCCGGGCAACTGCGATTTCGGTCAATGACATACGGCGGGTCAGGTCCGGATTGAATTTCGGCCAATGATAAGGTATACGGTGATTCCCGTACAATACAGTAACCCAATTGCGAACAGAAGTGACTCGTCGGGACGGGAGAGGGCATGCTATGAGGCTTACTTGATATGTTGCGCAACAAATGGAATGACAACGAATATATCTGCGGGAGAAACCAAAAGAAAAAAGAGAGAAAACCTGGGCACACCCATACCTTTCCTCAGCGCACTCATATATCCACCCATGGCAGCTGTCATATATTACGGCCGTTTTTGCGGGTAATTTCGAAATTTGTAGTGTCCCTGCCATGCGGGGTGTTTCGCCTTTCTTCCCTTCCACCGTACAAGAGTCGATCCTCTTGTCAAAACTCTCAAGGAATACTTGGGGGTTGTGGTGCGGTTTAGTGGTGGGACCTTTCCTCAACCCCCTCTCATAAAAGAGGGGGAAATTTTTATCTGGGACAAACTTTTAATCTGGGACAATCTGAAATGTTAGGATGCACCATCGAAAATTGTTAGTGGGAAAGATGCAACAATAATAACCACATCCACCAATTTTCTAAAATTCTAGCAAAAATTAGGAAGTAAGAAAAGGATATAAGAAAGGCTCCTTCAAAGTTGTAAAAAATCATCTTCTAAATTGGGCGAACGATAGCTTCTAGACTTTGTATCAACACCAAATATCGTCATTTTTGGTGTCGCGAAACCGCCGAGCTAAACCACGCTTCAACGATCAAAAGGTATGCACATCGAACGACCAAATTTGATGCAAATTTGGCAACACCTTCATTAGAGCCTTCTTATTCTCCCCAAATTTTGACAGATTTTTAAAAAATAGTGGTGTAGTTGAATAGTTATTGCATCTTCCCACTAACATTTTTCTATGGTGCACGCTAGTATTTCAGATGTCCCAAATTAAAAGTTTGTTCCAGACAAAAATTTCCCCCTCTTTTATGAGAGGGGGTTGACAAAAGGTTCCCAAGCCGCCCAGCCAACCCCCAAGTATCCAGTGTCAGAGCCATTCTCGCGGAGAATGGTTTCCTTTCTCCCCCACTTGGGTGACTAATACATAAGTACAACGCAGCCCGATCCTGCATGCAACGCAACACACACTTTACCCCACCACTCTCACTTCCATCTGTACTTGTAGGGCGAACAGCAGGAACGAATCGAATCCCATTTAAACTCAGCAATATCCCGCTGCCCCTCCACAATTCGTTATCTGAACAACCCAAAGTCGTAAAGAATTGGCTCTTACAATGTTGATGTGGTGATCTTGCAGCTCGAGGCCTGACTTGGTTTTACTTTGCTTCTTTAGGACCGCAGCCAACGCCCGCCAACGCCCATCAGCCACTAGAGCAAGATATAGGAGATGATTGACAGCGGTGAGCCCTAGCAAACTCGCTCTTTTTTACTGTCCTGGAAGTAGCTTCCTCTTCCCCTTACCTGATCACCTGATTGACATGGCCATGATAGGCTCAAAGCATTTAAAGAGCCTTTCCAGCTCAGCAGCATTTAGAAGATTGGGAGGTTGAAGTTGTTGGTGATCTCCAACTGGGCTCGTCGGTCTCCTGATCGGGGCGTGATAATCGAAAGCTTTCTGACCGCTGTCTTATCTGCCTCGAATATTCGTCAGTTAAACCAACTAGTCAGACGGTTGTTTTTGAAGTCCTAACGAGTATTCGGTTGCCCACTTCCCATCATGAAGTTGTCACGATCTGCTCACCTCCGAAGATTATCACAAGGTTGGCAATTCACAGTAAACCAAAGAAAGCTTGGCTGGAGTGCTACTTATGGCTTAGGTATCAAGACCTTAACGACAACGCGGGAAGGGATAATCCAACACAATCTCCATCAAAGCTGGTCAATCCGGTAGTGTCTGCATTTGCATGGCTACCCGACTGATGAAGGATGATATTAGAGTTCCATTGAACGCAGTTAACCCAGCGAAGACATGTCGGAATTATCGTAGAAGGAAATCACCCAAGCTAGACCAGCTGAAGCTGAATGTCTGAGGGGCTTACTTCTCCCTTTCTCCCCGACATGTTGGGCTGAGACATACTGTGATCCAGCTCTTGCCCTTGCAACTACCTCAAGCCGGTGAGCGTCGAGTATGTGATGACCAAATGAAGAAAGACGGGAATACGATCTTAACCAATTGGTATTTCATTGGATTGCCTGATAAGTAGTCTTTTGTGCTTCTCAGGTCGCAGTAACGTACGCAACGACACCAAGTTAATCGCTTGGCAAAGCTCCAGATTACTCGAGGATGGCGGGTAGTTGATGCCCGACGAAGATGAATCGGGTGGTCATTGGGACGATGTAGGCACAACGAAGTTCGAGAGTTGGCGTCGGAAGGCTTCAACGTCGGCCTCAAGTTAGTTCCACCTGAATTTCTCACTTCTTCGTCAAGGATCCTTCGGGTGTATCCAGAACCACAGCGCACGAGACCGGATATCAGCCTCTCAATATCACAGCAACTCTAAAAACCCCAAATCAGCATCGGGACACTATTCCAACTGGAAAGATGATTGAGGTTCTCACCCTGTCGCCTATGAAGCCGATGAGCCATGTCCAGATGTCCCTAACATGATGAACGAACAGGATCGAGATGGGAGCACCGTGAGGTCTTCCATGTGGTACCTTGACCGTGATCCACTGTACGAGACCGAAAAGCCATACAGCATGCGATACGAACCGGACGATGAGATTCCGCAAAATAACCTCAAAAAGATCCCTCATCCGATTGAGGTGAAGAGCATGAGGGAACCAGGTGCTGGCCCTTTCCGCATGGAAGAATGCGGTTTCCAGATGATCCAGCTTCATTCAAACTTGACACCCGACGATTTCTGGAAGGAGGAGCTGGTCCAGAAGGTGTATGTACAAGAGGTAAAAGAAGCTTTGAAGAAAGAGCTTGGAGCGAAACACGTTCATGTGTTGGACTACGCGGTGAGTTTCTGAGTCTCGGTACGATGAATTTAACTCTTCTGAGAGCACTTGTTCACACCTGTGAGAGTATTAGCTCAGGAAACGACACGAGTCGTTCCCGTTCTCGACTGGAGAGGAATACCAGTATGATCAACCTACCTCACTGGCCCACATTGGTTTGTTTTCCTGCTCTCCTCCGATGTTGAAGCACTCCGTCAGTGACGAAACATCGTGATACTGACACTATCGTAGATTTTACCCCGGAGGAAGGAGAACGGATGATCAGGGTTCTTTTTGGTGACCGCGCCGAGGAAGTGCTAAAAGGCCGCTGGCAAGTTGTGAAGTAGGAAACCCGCCCTGTTCCCTTAGCCACAGGTTCAACTCAGGCTGATGAATACCAGTGTCTGGAAGCCGATTCGAGGTCCGCTCAACGACTGGCCCCTTGGCCTGTGTGACGCTCGAACGCTCGACTTTGAGAAGGACACGGTGGCGAGCGACGTGGTGTTTGACAACTTTTACACCGAAAACATGCAGGTCTACCACAACCCAGCGTCCGAGTGGTACTATCTGCCAGATCATAACACGTGGGAGGCATTCATCTTTAAGAGCACTGACAGTGATCTTTCAGCGCCAGTTCGTGGTTGCTGCCACTCTGGGTTCTTGAATCCCAAGTCGAAAAAGGGAGAGCGAAGGGAAAGTCTCGACTGTCGATGCTTCGTTTTCTATGCCGACCTCGATGAGTACCCGCCGGTTGTCGGGGATGTTTCCAAGCCCCATCATCAGACTGTTTGAACGAGATCTTGGTCCCGTCACTGACCAAGGAGGGACATGGTGGATACTATGGTTAAATATGTAAGACCTGCAAAATGAACAAATTGGTCCCAGCTGTGAGGTATAAATTTATGGATTAAGCTGTCGGGTGTGACATCAACTTGTGCGCCGAGGTAACGTCTGCTGCAAGGTGCCGTTCGTAAAGCATGGTACACAGGCACCCGCACGTCGCGGTGAAGACCTCAATAAGTTCAGTCGGAGATCCCAATGGAGCGAAAGGGGACGGGCCGAGGGTAGGTCTTGAAGCGTGCAGAAGGGAGGACACAACTTAGCTGCACATGGCCATTTTGCTAGGCGGTCTTACTACCGTTAGATGTATTAGACGGTCGAAAGTCGGTTTACTTCATTTAAACCGTTGTAAAGGTTAATAGTCAAGCTTACAAACCGTTAACTATTTCGACCACCTAAGAAATCAACGGCCTGGTTTTTTCCCGGCAGCTTAAGCAATTTGACAGTCTTCCAACGGTCTAAGAAAAAGTAAAGGGTCGGAAGACGCTTCAGAAGCTAGGAGTGGGGGCGAGAACTTGGGCATTTCCCAAGAAGCCCGGGCAAGAGGCCTCAAAAGGCAAGAACGACGATAACCACCTTCCACCACTATAAGGCCAACATTGGGGAAAAAACTTCACACTTCTTCCTTTTTCCTCTTTCAACCAAAACCACCAAGTCATTCATTTTTTCAACCAAAGAACTAAGAAGCTAGAGAATCAAGGAGCCGAACAGCCCATTCACCAAATCATTATCTTCCAAGTGGAAATTACAACCAAGTAGCATTGCAAAACCAATACTTTAGTAAATGGACTGCCTAGCTTTCTCTCTCTCTCTCTCTCTCTCTCTCTCTCTTCTTTTCTTAATTGGGCAAGAAAATAAGGCCGGGCAAGGTGCTTAGGTAATCAATCAATCAATATCCTCACTAAGGAACCAAATGCACCAATACGACCGTGAAATCCCAAAGTAATGTGGAAGAAATGCTGTGGTATTAGAACCCTAAGACCCGAGGATTTTCAGACGTCTAACTTTTTCCGACCGTTCCCCGACCGCTTAAATCTAGGCAAACGTATAGACGACGGTCTGCCTCTAGGCCGACCGTTTATACACTTAAACCGCTGTTACAAAGTAGACCGGTAATTATTTGACTGAGAAGTAAGACGTCTAAACCTGTGCAACCGTCGGTCGACCGTCAGGGGACGGTCTGGACATTCTGGGTCCCGCACATAAGAAGCGGAGTTCATTGGGGGTATTCAGATTGTATATCGTTCCTGCCCATGAGTGTAGAGTCACATTACCTTAGGTAAATATGTCGTGCCTGAAGCGAAAGAAAGACTTAACTGATCCTTGTATGCGTAGCTGCGATCCCACTGAAACAAGGACATGGGGTTACGGGTACGAAGTGGAGAAGTTGTCGCCATTACCCGTTCGCAAGGCGGTCAGGGACTTCAGGGGAAACCCGGGGGAAACAGACAGAGCACTGACCACCTACCCAACGGGTACAGACTGACCCTTGTTGGTGCAAGCCCCTTTTAATGCAAATACGCCGCTAAATGCAAGACTGAGGGTGGTCGAATGGTCAGTTACGTACCTTATGAAAGAGAAACCTCTTTATTGTAACTATCTGCCAAATGCAATGCCTTCGTCCCTTCCCCCAAGTTCCAGATCTAGACTAGTTGCAGGAACAGCCGGGCAGGGCCCGCCTGTGCAACTTCGCAAGAGCGCCTGGGTATTGTACGTTTCACGACCTCCCTTGGTTGCACTTACCTCATCGAACAACAATAAAAATCAGTTCGTTTCTTTAGTCCCTAGCGCCTTCCGTCAAAGAGAACGTGGACATGCTGCCCAAGGATGGCTTCGTCGGACTGAAGTCAAGTCGGGTTTCTGAAGCGGAACACATTTTCTACCACACCGTCAAACCCTAAAGCCTGCGATACACCCTGATGATGGAATCACTCGCCAAAACATCGAGACCGTCTGTCCCCGCGACCCATGGCCTACCACGGCTTCTTTGACCATGACAAGATCGAAAGGCTCGTATGCAACGGATTTGCAGGCCCCATCTAATGACGCTCCTTCACGGGCCGCATGTCCGCATCATTGATTGCGCAGTAGGTATTCAGCTGGCTGCAAGCCTCCATTCCTCAATCATTCGCTAACATCACTGGCGACCAGGTCCGACGGCAGCATCCCGACTTCCTGGTTTCCAATGGCAAAGCAAACAAGCATCACAGCCTGCGGCCCTCGTACACTTGCGTGTGTAGCCTCTGCTCCAAGCGTGGTCGCTGGGTCTAGTCTCGATATCCAGTACGCCGATTATAGTGGAAACGCCAGGCTTTTCCCACGAGGAAGCGGCGAGCATGTTGGAGACCCTCTAGGAGAGCACTGTGGACCGAATCAAGCAGCACCGCGGGCAAGCCATCGAGTCTTATCCTCCTTCGACATTTCTGCGACGTAGCCAGCTTTTTGGCGTCTGCTTCCTGCCTTGATCACAGTCACCACTAGTTCCGGAGAGCGTCTGGCGACGGCTCAGAGGCCCTCTATACATTCGGCCTCTTTCTGTCTGTATCGTCCCAACATTCACACAAACCTGCGATGCTCAGACATCCGATGCTGTGTACCAGGACGGAAATACGAGAATATACGCGGTCACCACCACCCAGCTCAGCCAGTGATATTACTTGTCAGGGCTTCAAGAGACGGAGACAACGCTGCTCAAATGCAGACTCGGATGATACAGCGAGTGTGCGTGAGTTCTGTTGTACGACGCTCTTCTTCCCTCAACATCTGAATCACCACATCGGACGATAATTACTTGACGAACTTAACATACCCACATGCGGCCTCTCCCCTTACACGAACAAACGGGACAACACATCCATCATGAGAAAGCATCGGACCGAGAGCATTTGTCTCCTGGGCGCCACTGAACAGGGCATTGTATGGTACGAGCCTCAAGTGGCTGCTGAAAGTCCGAAATACGCGCTTCTTAAGTTCCAAGCTAAAGACGGACTCTGCAAAGTTCCAGTTCAAGACCATTCCTGTAACTGCCAAGAGTAAGGGCTACACACAGATCACCGCAACTGTTTCCCGGTTCCGATCCACTCCCACCAAACCGACGCTTCCCTTGATATTTCTCCTCCTTTCACTGAGCCTCAGCGGGTACTATCTTGATAGGTATGCCGAATGTGTGGCCCCCTTGAATGAGCCTCTCGCCTTCTTTGGTGCCGTGGGTTGTACCCTTTGGGGGCTGCTTTTTCACGCCTAGCGAGTTCCGAGCAATCCATCCTTTCTTCCAGGGCTGAGCCTTTGCGGATGACAAGTTGTTGTTCGGCATCTAGCAGGCTGTGCGGAAATCAGTACGCGCTCATTCCAAGGCATGACATATAGCAGGAGAGACACCTTACTAGCTGCGTTATCGATCTGTTTTTCAATCAAGCTTGTTTTTTTGGCTTCTTTAGTTTGTACCACTGCTGAGGTTGGGACACTTTCAGCTAGCGCTGGAGAACGAGTTCTTGAACGGACAAGACGACTGTGAACTTCCAGTTGGCATTTTCAAATTACTGCGGAAGGAAAGCTACCAGTGTGGTGACTTGTTATATTGGGTTGCGGGAGAAGGCTACACCACCAAAAAGTCAGGTACCCGTTAACGTACTGCCTGCCCACCCTTCGGGCCCGCTATGAAGCAACATTAGGCATCTACGCAGAGCCTCCTTGCCTGATGGAACAGGCACCTTTCGCTTCGGTGAGCTCAGACTGAACTCGGGAAGCTGGTTGCGTGGGAAGACGGCTCAAGCGGCTTTCCTCCCAATCATCAAATCACTTGCACTCCATGCCAAACCTCCTAACTGGCCATAGCCGACCCAGTCGCTGCGCCCACCCACTTTGAGCTAAACAATAATCAGTCATGCTTGGCTGTGTAGCCTTGGCGAGGTATCCTCCTCGTTGCCTACTGGGCTGCATGTGATCAGTTCCAGCACGAGTGTGACTGGCGAAATGCGCGTCATGAGGATCCTAATGATGGGTGAGTGTTTCGTAGGGCAAAGGAAGCCTCCTCCAGTATCCCCCCAAGGGCGCTTCTTTATCTGTTGGCCCAGGTGCAGAGATGTCGTTGGTGGAATAGGTGAGATGGGCACGATGGGGTAACATCAACCCCAGCTGAATGGCGTTTACACTAGGACTTAGGTGGCATCCAGCATATGCAGTCCAAATCGCTAGACTGAAGACGTGCCCGATCAGGCTGGAACAGCTGCTCACCACTTCAAGCTTCTATTTATCATGGGCTCATTCATCATACCCCGACACGCCGGTTTCAAACCAACGCTTACCACATTTTCTGACTACCCAAACGCAAGGCTGACGCGTATCCCTATCTCGCGGCTCCGCAGGACTGCAACCTCACTGTAAGGATCGTCAACCGGAGACGGAATTCACCCCAGACAGCTTGACTTCCTTCAGCTGTCACTAGCAGTACAGAAAAGCTCAAATATGATTCACAGAATCCTTTCGTGCGATCTTACCTGTCGACCAACCAACGGCTGGTGAAGCCCAGTGCATGCACCAGTAGCGTTTACATCTATCTCGGAGCTTAATCTCGGAAAACATGCTTGCGTTTTCCCTTCACACCACCATTTCTGTACTTCATGCATGCGTTTTATTACCCCGCCTTTCACGTTTGCCTTGCTGAGTCTCAGGAATTAGCCTTCGCTGCCTACACATCGTGCCCTTCTGGCTGTACTACTAGTCGTCTTAGTACTCATCTGTTGCCCACCATGAGTGATGCCCCGTCAGGTCGGCAACGTCATTGCGACTGGCGTTATACCACACTCGTGAATTTCCTGTCCCAGTCGGTCGGATTTTCGTGCTCAAGAGTAAATCTAGCCTAAAGCAATACTCTTGCCTGATATTGTCAAAATCAGTTCCATTGGCTTTTTAGTCGTCCATGCCGAAACATCTGGAGCTGTAGCTGGCTACAATGAAACCTCAGAGGACGCTCCATCGGATCTTCACGAGGGAGCAAAGGGCACCCCAGGAACTGGAGTGAGTGAAGCAGCCTTTCCCTCATGAGATTCTCTTTTAACATGCGATCTTCCAGCATCATCATCGTGCCCGCTTATGGGTTAGCCAAGCCCATTGAATGGGGTTGGCTTAAGTGTCTTTGTGATGACCTCCTGCCCGACGTGGCTATTTTTGAGCATCAATATGATCCCAGCGATGGCAACTCTGTGTCCCCCCAGTATCTCTATAAAGAAGGACGCGTGTTTCTGGACTCCATGTTTGATCACTACGAGAGAAAGATGCGACCTGTGGTCCTCATTTGCCATGGAACAGGAGGATTTGTCGTGAAACGGGTGGGTCCTTCTCTCTCTGTCTCTCTTTCTTTCTTTCTCCTTTTCTTCAAGTTGACTCATTTGGGACAACCTGATAACATGCCCACCGAGGAGCCGTATAACTCTCTCATGGATTGGATGCTGACTCTTCATATGGTAGGCGCTCCATATTTGTCATAAGGAACGATCAACATATCCTCACATGATGGATGCTCTTTCCGGGATCGTCTTTTTGGGCGCTCCACATTTTAGCACAGAAACGAAAGAAGAAGATGTGAGGAAAGTCTTCAATTTTCTCTTTACGTCGAATGACAAAGGTGCCGCGAAAATGGGCTCCGAGGGAGATGAAATCAAAATCCTAGTAGATATCTGCCAGGGATTCACCCCACTCAACATGCCTATAGTATCTGCATATGAGTTAAAGCCCACAGTAAAACGCCGCAGGTTTCTCCCGTTCGTTAAGGATTCGAGTTACGTGGTATGTAAACACGCAATTTCCTCATTCTTCTGTTGCGGGTTTCTTCGACCAGAAAACTTTTGCTGAAATTCGAACTTGCTTTGGCTAACAGTGTGCACTTAACCAATTCCAGATTGTCCCCAGGGATCTAGGAACACTGGGAAGAATATCGACGAACGAAGAGAAAGTGTACAGCAACTCAAACCATTGGGATATCTGCAAATGTTCAGTCGACAGTGACCTGTACAAAGAGTGTCTCCATCTTCTGAAAAGGGTCAAAGAAAAGGCTCAGAGGAAGAGCCACTGGCGCAGTAAGTCAAACAAACGCATCGAGGGAAAAAGAAAAATATCCAAAATAAATCTCGCTTGACCTCCTAAAGGATAGGACTAACAAAAGATCAGGTGTATCGCCTGTCAGATCCAGCGATACATTCCCCGGTAGACCTGCGAGACGAGATGGAATCCCTCGCCTGCCATGTTTCTCGCTTGGAGACCGCCAGGCAAATAAGCGGTTCACGGGACGAGAGAATATCATAGACAAAATTGACGCTGCCCTTCTTCCCCAACGTCACACAACTTCAGCCGAATCGAATCAACTCCGCTCATTTGCCATTTGCGGCTTTGGCGGTATAGGAAAGACGGAAATAGCTGTGGAATACGCATATTCCCGGGCTAATAGGTTCGACGCTGTGTTTTGGCTCAGAGCGGATGAAGCTACTATTCTCACGTCTGACTTCGCCCGTGTCTCTCGGCAATTGGGACTGGTAGATGGCGAACAAGACCTTGTTGCGTGCGAAGAGGCTGTCCTAAAATGGCTCGCTCCTCCCTCGAAGATGTCAGGAGAATCCGTTGGTCTAGCCAACTGGCTTATCATCTTCGACAACGCGGATGACTTGAAGGTCCTTGAGAAGTATCAGCTCAGACTCAGAGGCGGCTCAGTTCTAATCACCAGCCGAGACCCCGACGCGAAGTATTTTTTTGACACAGAGATTGAGGCTGGTATCAACTTGAGGCCGCTTGCCGAAAAGGAAACAAAAGATTTGCTCCGGAAACTCACACACGTGAGGTCAACCCCATCATCATCTGAGAAGGAAAAGGAGTCCGAAGCTCTGTCTGACCTATCGCGCAAACTGGCTGGGCTCCCCCTCTTAATTATCCAGGTATCAGCGAGATTTCGAAACAAGAGACTGCAGTCATATAGTGAGTGCTTGGAGGACTACACAAAAGTCCCCCTACACCAAGCAGGAGGATCAGTCAACACCCTGACGAAGTCCGCGGACTTGCGACCATCTGGGCGCTGCACGAACTTCCCACGCGTTCTAAATCTCTTTTACAAGTCATAGCTATGCTGGACCCGGATGGCATTCCTGAAGACATTCTTGTAGATGAGAAGAAGGTCGTCAAGCTCGATGGCTATCCGACTTCTAACGGGGACTACTGGGACGCAAGAGCCCATCTATTTTCCTCTTCGCTAATCAGCCACAACAACGAGAAGCGCAGCCTTACCCTGCACCGTTCGATCCAGGAGACAACATTGCGCACCATGGATCACCAAACGCTGATTAAAGCGTTCGAAGCTGCTAGCAGGCTCGTTCATGACAAATGGCAATTCCAGTCCATAAGAGAACATCACTCTGTTGCAAGGCACAAGGAGTGTGGGCCTCTGTACGACAGTGTTCTTCGCCTCAAGAACACGACGCAAGATCCCACTCGTTTCACCCCAGATGTTTATGTCACAAGGCTGATTGGTGATGCAGGCTGGTACTTGTTTGAGCGTGGCATGCTCGAGGAGGCCAAAGATTTTTGCGAATGCGCCCTGAAGATTGCACAGCAACTGGGAGGTAATCTTGGAGGTCCAACAGATGAGCTCCTCCGCCAGGGCCACATGTTCCTGGGAATTATCTTGACAGAAACCAACGAGCATGAAACCAGTATGCAGCACAAGCAGAAATGGCTCAACATGGTGAAGGCCACGGGGAGAGACACTGGGGACCTTGTCTATGAACTGGGCTACGCGTATAATGAGATTGGTGTTGCTTATGGGAACAACGGCGATCTGGAAGAAGCGGCAGATGCTTTTCGGAAATCGATGAAGACCTTCAAGGATCTCGAGGATTTCGAAGATAGCATGCTAGGATGGCCACAACCCAACCTCGGCTTCATATACTGGCTGCAGGGCCATTATGACAAAGCTGAAAGGGAGTTGCAAGCTATCCTCCGTATCCACGAGTCAAAATACGGTCCGGAAGACAAGAATTCATTCAAGTACGTACCAACTGGCAAGTGGCCGGGACCTGTGTCAGATGTTTTACTGACTTGCTTGAACACAGGACTGGCAAGATTCTGTACGCACTTGGCAACGTGCTATGGTCTCAGCGCCGCTTTTGGGACAGCTACATCTTCCACAACCAATGCTTAACACAATATCAGGAAGTTCTGGGTTCCGGTCATCACAGAGTGGGCGATACGTATCATCGGCTGGCCGGTGCTTGCATGCAGCAAGGTCGCCATATGGAAGCCGAGTGAGTAAACAACCGTTTTGCCTGAGTGCACTCTCCACAAAAAACAGAGCATCTACTAGTCGATGACTGCATATCAGCTCACTGACGTTGAACTTAGAGATTATCTGGACAAAGCATTGAAGATCTTCGAATCCCGCACGTATCTGGAAAACGAGCGGCCTAGGACAACTTTCAAGAAGGGCCAATTGTTCAAGAAAATGGGCAGAAAAGGGGAGGCCGACGGCCTATTCAAGCAAGCATACGAGCTGAGGAATAAAGTGCTCAAGAGGCAAGGCAAGCGGGAAGATTCTCGGCCAATGGATGAACTGAAGGAAGAGGACTATGATTCCCTAGTTTCTTACTGGTCTCGCTAGGTTTGTCGTGGAAAAGATGTGCAAGAAGGTAATGATCGTGAAGAGTCCCTTACAAGAAAAGAAACAGATGGGCGGCGGATCAACGTGGATGGACGCGTGCGAAAACAGCCTGTCGGAGTGTCAATGTATGTTCAAAGAAGGCGAGCAGTTTACCCGTGAAAAGAAACACGACGACAAGGCTACAGGCCCAGAAAAGCAAGCAGGTACGTACACGTTGCTCGCCTCACCAAGCTGCATCTTGACAAGTGCATGTAATCCAACTTGCATGTGGCTCGCATTTGACGCATGCCTGGGGACAAAATCCATTCGAGGACTGCATATCAGGGAGAGGCACGCACCTGCTAGGCCTACCTACTGAAGCTTCCACTTAATTAGTATCAGAAGATGCACGCTCACTTCAAAAGTGAGAGCACAACCTTCTGAAGCCAGGGCGGAGCTTTAACCCTATCAGTTTGTTCAGAATAACCTTCGGGTAGGAGGTCTCGGACATGGCTGATACTTCTGTCTGGATGTCACAGTCTAGAATCACTTGAACCAGTGAGCTGGAAACACAGGTTCATATGTCTGGAGCAAAGCCTCCGCATCTAGTGAGTGATAGGTCGGTTGAGCCTCAACATGTCAATCAACGTGGACAGTTGTGTCTGGTCTTCGTCTTACCTTCAGCCTTTTAAGTGGAGCAGCTATGCCAAACACTAACACGTGGCCCCCTTAGTGACAACACCACCACCACTGGGTCAACAAGGCAACCGGTGGTGGCATCCAACGACGATGACGGAAGCCTCAGTTCAACCTATATTTAGTCGCTTTCATCATCGCAAAACATATCTTGACAACAAATCTGACATCGCATTGATCCGTACCTTATGCATTCATAATGGGCAAATCTCATGACGAGGCTGCCATCCGCAAAGCCTGTGTCACGTCTCAGGCCGATTAAGACACCGAACAGTGGGAAAACCAAGAAGAAAATATGCGTTTCCCATCGGCTTATGGACAGCAACTACATTATACTATCAGCCCTTTTCTGGCAAGTCGTAAAACGATCACAACATCCAGAAAATAACTCCTAAGACAAGGAATCTACTGAAAGCGAAACCATCCACAGTTCGATAACGGCATGACCGCCGAAAAATTACAACCCATGCCTGCGGATAATCTTCCGAGACGATCGCGGTCAATCCGCCGGACTCGCAGAGATTATCCACCATCGGCCGCGGGCGATGATCCTGCGTCACGGGTTACATCAGCGAGCAGGACTGTACGCGAGGATCCAGATGCATGTGAGTCAGGTCTCATCTCAAAAAGACCGCAAATACCTTGAGATGCAGTTTGGGTGGATGATCGCAATGTTGACTGTTTGCCTATAGTAACACCGGAGGGATATGCCGATGCTGTACGCAGGCATTCGGTCCTCAACAATGGGATTGGACGAAATTACATATGGTTAAGCGACTTCTTGGGGCTGAATATATCGACATCTGTATATGTGCGGAAAACCGCCCCTCGAGATTTGAAGAGTTGGGTGGTACAGTATCCCATTGCCGGCGATGATGATATTGCCGATGCGCAGGAGAGTTCACTTGCGTTGACGCCAACTTTATCACCAAGAAGCATCTTATCCGAAGAATCGACTGATAACACTGGAGACTCATTTGCGGGTGAGAGACGCTCCAGCAAGGAGAGTTCCGGGCAAGATGAGCGCAGAAAGTTCATCTCGTTCTCGACACACAAAGAGTTCTCTGCGAGTATCGCGAGCCGGAATCCATTTCAGTCCACTGTCACATTTCTTCACGGTTATACATCGCCGGCATGGATCAATCACATAGGCGCCGGATACAACATCGACCCGGAGTTCTTCTGCCGACATCTGGATTTTCGGGGTCCCGAGGAATCTCCGATAAGCTTTTCCATACCTTCGATACCATCATCATGCTGCTATCTGATCGATCTTCCAGTGATCACAATCGGCGAGCGTGACGATTGTACCTCAAGCTGCACATTGCACGAGGCACATATTGAAGCCTTGAGGAGAGAAGCTGCGATTGCTCTAGATGCTCATCGTCGGGAGATCAAATACATAGATCAGAACAGGCCCAAAATGGTGGATGGCCAGTCAATGGTACGAGATTACTACGTCTTTGATGAGACGCACTTTGCCGTTGAGCAGCGTATTTCCATTTGCATGGAAAGACCCGGGGATGATCCAACCTTTCAGTGTAAGTACTACCCCTTCGAAGTCATCCCCAGGCTTCACAACAGTACCTTACCGAGGTCATTGGTACAACCGGACTAACATGACCTTGAAGTAATCGTCTGGTCAGACTCCGGAGACAATTACCAACCACATTCAAACTCCCCGGATTGGCCTCAATGGAAGAGTTGCCTCCCCGTCATCGTGCACAAGCACAAAATTGCCCTTAAGGCACGGCGTCCGAGCCAAGGCAAGTGGAACTCAACCCCATCTATCCACTCGGCCGCCGACATCCACAAAGAGTACGGTCACTCCCTGGATCCGGCCACCATGGCCAAGGACGCTTTCTACTGTTTGACCGAGATCTTCAGCTTCGCCGCCTCCTCCCAGATGCAGTTCCTCAACCTCATCGACCTCAAGCTCGACCGGTACACCTCCCTCCCGACCAAAGAGGACTTTAAGGTGCTCCCCAACCTCAAGTACACCAAGAAGATCCTCGAACGCTATATCCAAAAGACCGAATGCGTACTGGAAAGCATCCGCAGCGCAACCAGCTCGCAGTCTCGCTGGCCCAAGGCTTCGGACTCGAGCATCCACGATCCCAGTATCAACGATGGAAGCGAACAAAAGGCCAGGATCGCCGCCCAACGGACAGAGCAGGACTTCCAACACCTGCTTAACCACGCCGAGACCCTGCATCGTCGCACGACAGAGGCTATCACCGTTCTACTCTCGAGTATCTCCATCTCGGAGTCGCAGAGAGCGCTAGCGGAGGCGGAGAGCATGGGGAAGCTCACATTCCTGGCGTTCACCTTTGTTCCGCTGTCATTTACGACCAGCTTCTTCGGCATGAACGTCGGAGAGCTGGATGGCCAGACGCCGCTGTCGATAGGGTGGTGGATTCTGGCCTCGGCGCTGACTATGGGGCTTGCGTTTCTGGCGCTGTATCGGGAGTATCTGATGGGGGTGATGGGCAGGTTGTGTAGGTGGGTACATGGGGAGAAGAAGAAGGAGAAGAGATGATTTGACTGGAGAATGAACCAAAATAACGGGTCCCGCCGTGGACAGTTAGAAACTGGGAGGCAGATCTTGTGAGGAGTTTGGTGGGAGTTCGTTGCGAGGCGTGGGTTCTGTTTTCCGGAGGTAAGGGGCTCAAGGGACACCCTTTTCTCCGGGGCCTTGATGATTGAGATACCCAAAAGTTACGCATTTTGAGAACCTTGGATGGTGGATGATTTTTTTCTCTCTCCCCCTTCTTTTTTCTTGAAAATAACGAAATATCGCTTTTGGTAGGAGAGAACAACAACAAATATTAGCGGAACACACCTAACAGCGTTAATACCTAGGTATATAGCCGGCAAGGGAACCCTGTGACACCACCCTTTGAAGCCAGATATTATTGCTACAAGTCCCCGATTCTTTCCGATTTTTCTCAAGTTTCTGTTCTAGTCTAGATAGTAAGTCAAAATTTGTCATGCCGCCCATATGGAAGGAAGTGCTTTATATGCAACCATTCTGTTTTGGCGAGTGTCCTTTTCGCACTCATCGGCAGTGAGACTGCGAGATATTTCTCCATTAGTGACTTTTAAGCCTCAATTGTCTGGCCTAAGATGAGTTTCGCGAGTATGGAAGCCTCGCTACTTAAGTACTTTTATACTTATTTATAGCGACAGTGTGGAAAAATTGTATAAAATGTGCTTACGGACGGTGCGCAAAGTCAGATTAGGGTGCGTGTAGGCGAAGACCACGGTGGGGGAAGTTTTGTCCTAGGTACTTTTAACTACACTCTTTACTTCGTATTCCTCAGCTTGCTAGGTAGTGTCCCTATGAATTTAACCAATCCGCGCTTCAGGATCGGGAGGAGGACGTTTTATTTTCCCATAAATCCAGAACCTCAACCAACATTTTTTCCACTTTTGTGCAAGAAGATAGAAGCGAAGGCAAAAGGCAGGCCGTCGCTTCAACCGAAACCATCCATGCCTATCGGTGGTACCTCATACTAAATTAGGCCAGTCAAGTCACTGCATAACCATCATCACCACTACAGAGAACACTCACTCACTTTCTGGATCTAGCAAGTCCTGCCATCAAAGTTCCAGGTGCAACCCATGACGGTGCAGAAGGCGCAGTTGCACTTGCCCTTCAGGCAGGAACAGCCGGCGCCTTGGAGGCACGAGCCTCGAGCTCGGCCTTGGAGGCTTCAGGGTTGGCCTCGGCGGCAGGGGCGGCGAGGGCGACCGTGGCAAAGAGAAGGGTGAGGGCGGTGGTGAACTTCATCTTGGTGGTGTTTGTGGTTTAGTTTGAGTTTGTTGGTGTTGATGCTTTGCCTGGGGTGGTAGCTGGGAGTGGAAGTGAGAGACTGGGAAGTTGAGAGTGAGGATGATGATGTTGAGATCGAGGAGTGAAATGGCAACATCACAGAGGCTTTATAGTTTTCACTCTTCATCAAAAATTACCCATCACACATGGCGAACCTAGGTCAAGGACAGCGACGGGACACTCTCCCGGGTGCGGTGCTGTGCTACCTTGGCTTCATGGCCTGTTTGCTCGCTTCCTTTCTCGCTTCTTTGACTCCATTCACTTCATCGAGCGATCGACGTATTCTCTATGTTCAAGCTGTGAGTAAGCGACACGGGATGGCGCCCCGACGGTTCTGGTGGAAAGGCATCCATCGCTTGATACTCCTCTTTTGCAACCGTTCCCAGGAGGGTGTTGAAGGCGTTGGAGGATTTGTAGATGAGAGGTGTTGAATCTACCTTTACGCATGAGGCCATCCAATCGCATTGCAGTGTCGTTACAAGCCGGCTTCGAAGGACGAAGGTAACTAGTGCAGTGGATCTCACCCATCACGATGCAGATATCGATCCTTCGCCGTCGGTAACGGTATGGGATGCCGAAGGTGGGATTTAGATCTTGCCATTTGCCGCCGAAAATTTTGGCTGGCTCATGATGTTGACTTCAAGTCCGACTTTGAGTCCGAGCAGTCAGCTACTACGACTGGACACGAAGAAGGGTAGGTAGTACTGGAATACTGAATACTGAGAGTCGAGCCTCCCAACGTCTAAGCCCTATAGGGCGGTAGTATTTGGCGATGGCGCTAGTTGGGGATGGAGTGCAGTGACGGAGTGAGACGGTCCGATGGGCCGGGTTTAGTCGCGATGGATTCACTCGGCATGCTCACGACGTGCAAGTGGACTGCAGTGCACTCCAACTGGGCGGGCATCAATTATGGCACGTCGGTCACGGATCGAGCCAATCTGGTATCACTGCCCCCCAAGTGCTCAGTTCCTTCCTCTTCGCCCACCGCCCCACTCGTCCAAATGAAATATTGACATCGATCTCAATCACACTGTGCGCGGAACTGAACACTCAAGACGAACAGAGGAAGTTGCAAACGAGCTCTCAATGCCACTCGATGTACCTCTGTTAGTGACTCGAATCTTAATTATGGCAAAATCGATCGCTCTACTACCCCTTCTAACAGACTTTTGGAGGGTGTACTTCTCCTGGTCTGTCATGGGTTTTCCTCTTTCTTCATGGTCATCCATCGTAACTACAGCGACCTCGAGTGAAATAAGTACATGGAGTGTCTGGCTCGGCGTGAAATAACAAGCTAAGAGAGCATGATTCCACGAATCAGTTCAGTGCCTTTTCATCACTGCGCCTTGCTTCAAAGCACCGACAAGGCTCAAGCAGGACATCCTCATCTCCTGATCGGAATCCTCCCTCCGTCTGACTGCGGGGTGCATACGGCGGAAGGATCAAGCGACGTTGAGCTCGACAAGCATTTAACCATCAGCCTCGACCAGAATACTACAGTGCCACCAACGCCCCCCCACAGACTTGGCGGCGCCGAGGCCCGGAGATAAGCACAGTTCATTGTGCAACTGAAGTCTGAAAAGTCCGGCCCCTGTCTTGCCGGGGAGCCGGGGTTGGATTCGGACACTCGGACCGTACCATGGCCGTGATAGGTACCGAGGTAGGTACCTTTCATGGAGGCCGGCCAATAAAGAGAGGCAACATTCCAAAAGGAGACAGACCATGACGGGGAGTGATCCCCAGATCAATTAACATGCATCGTATATGTCAAAGATGTTGCTCTTTCTCTTAGTAACTGATGGAATTCATCATCAGTTTGGCAACCAGGAAGAGCAGAACTCCTCATTCTCCTATGTATTGCTTTCTTCCCAAAACTCAACCCATCCCCCAAACACCCACCGTCACTCAAGCTTCTATACCTCTGAATCGGTTTCAAAACTGCAACCGAAGCGTTTCCCTGTCTTGGCTGATCCTGTCACTACCCTTCTTTAACGCAACTTGGTCTTGCCAACTTCTTCTGCATATCCCCCAACAGCGACTTCAACTTCCAAACAAGTCTATCGACCGGTTTCTGTCCAGTTTCAACATCAAGATTTTTCCGTACTTATCTCAAACTGCCCAACCATACCTCTAATAATACCTATTCATAATTGAAAGAGATGTCAATGCCCACTTGATTCAGTTGCACCCCACTCATCTCCAAGGAGGAGGTTACTATCAAGTGCTGTCAGAAAGGATCAGGTAAGTCATTTCCAGACGGGTCAATAGGTGCGGTCAAGTAGATGCGTAAAATTCCCGCCGAGCGTGCACCGAAATGCTCTTCGTTGTTTTCCTTCTTCTTCTTGGCCTTAGTACTTCTTGGAACTTAAAGCCCGCAGGCAGGATCAGGCGCCCACCCACCACCAACCGTCCTTGTCCAGCTCACGATATCCACTTTTTTTTCGTCAACTTGCCCGTCGGCACTTTGATATTACAATTGTCCTGATAATATTTAACCTTTCTCATGGTCTGATTATCAAAAGCTACCGAGTATGACAGATCCCGGAAAGGAGGGCTACACTCGGCGCACTCCCAAAAACTCCCGATGTAGGCCAGTTTCCCAAGTTGTTGGAAGATACATCATCATCACGAAAAGGAGTACTCTTGTCATGTGTAAAGTGCCAGGGTCACTTATGTTGTTGGAATAAGGTTTCTTTGTAGTTCAAATAAGCTACTCTTTGTCGTTGGAATGGAGTTGGAAGTTGAATTGAGCTGTTAGTGCAGTTGAAGTAAGGTTGGGGGTCAATTAGAGCTGTTGGTGTAGTTGAAATAAAGTGTTGTTTGTTGGTGGCTTGTATCTCCAAAAGGCTGTTGGTCCCGGAACCCCTGGTTCACCCGCTCCCTTGCGTCTTGGAACCAACAAACATCCTGAGCCGGGACAAAGGAGTCTGTTTGACGAGCTCGAAGTGTAGTTCTACACACATCAGCAGCACATCATCACAAAACCGAGTCCCCTTGTTGAAGATCAAGCTGAACTCGCTAGGAATTCTCGCTTCATGCCTATATAATAATAAGAGGCTAGTGCACAAATGATGAGCCTATAGACTTATGTAGTCCGCTGGTATTTACCACAAGCTCCTCAGAGCAATGCCCATCTCGGGCAAAGAAAACTATCGGTGACAAAGTGAGATGAGAAATAACCCTCAAACGCCAACGGAGTAAAAAAAGCATCCGTACGCTATGCATAGAATAATAAACTGAACAAGAAGAAGGGCCATGACAAAATTCTCTACCGCCATCCCAACGTCCAGTCACAGCACCAGAAACAAACCCAGATGGAATCACCCCTCGGAAAGATTGGGGTAGGTGGCCTATCTAGGGAGATTCCGTCCTCGGCGAAATGGGTTGACCTGGGAGAACGGGTCCTCGTCGGATTCCTCTCTGACCTGATTAGACCGTTGCCTAACATGGCTAGAACGCTGTCTAACATGCTGCGGAAAGCCATTTGCGATATTGTCCCTTTCGGTGTCCTCTAATACCCGCAATGGGAACTCCATGTTAACCGGCATTTGCCGAGGAGGAATAGGAGGGATATTTAGTCTTATGGGCTCGTCGGCTGTCAATGTCATCCACGGAGGAAGAAGATTTGCGATACGGCGACGGGCCTCTAGGATACGAAGTTCCTCCTCGCGTAATCTCCCCATCTCCTCTAGCAATAGGGGGAGGTCCATGTTGGCAGCGGCCCTGCGATATTGACGTTGCCTCCAACCTGTGGTTCCATCAACAATGACAGGTCGTCGTACCCCAAGATTATTGGGTAAACGGTTCTGTGTCGGCATAAGTTCCGACAATGGTGCTGTCTCATATTGAGGAAGTCCCTGCAACCCGATGCGACGAAGCCAAAAAAGCGAATCATCAAAGGACTGTCCCCAAATATGTTCCAGTAAAGCATCATCAGTGATCCTTGGAAATGCAGGTCTCGTGGAGGGTGCCCTCAGAAACTCCCCAACCCCAGTCGGAGGCCGTGATAGTTGTCGGTTTGACCCTGCAGGAGACGGCGTGTAAAATACTGTCCCAGCTGATGACGCCTCCGAACTTGCTGATGAAGCCGATGATGAAGAAAACTCGGAAGGGGCACCGACCATCGAAGATGAAGACGGGCTCGAAGGCGAACTGGAAATTGGTGGCTCCGCCGTAGCCAGCAGAAATTCGTCTGATCCAAAGATATCAGGGGGCCCGCCGCCCCTCAAGGTTATGTAAGATCCCCACGCTTGTGATGGGTTGTCGGTGTCAAACGGGAAACGATTTCGTCCGATAAGTGACTAGCGTTCAGCGTCAATAGGGCCGCCTTCGACAATTTCGAAATCGTTTCCGACAGCTGCGTCTGTTCCAATGTGCTCCTAGGCTCCATAGTCCGAGTTCGTAAGCTTGTCGTCGCCGTCCAACACCCTGTTTTCCCAAAGTCAGCACACTTTCCTCGCCTCATCATAGAAAGACCATCTCTTACGAAAATTGTTTCACGAGATACCCCTCTCCTCCCTTTTCCATATCAATGTTGTAAACATAAAAACCACCATCACTCGTAACAACCATAACCTGCGGCGAGCTACTGCTCATGGCCACCACGCTCCTCAGCGGCGTCGCGCTCAACCCACCTGCCCTGTTGTTAGAAGACTTGGGGATCTTGATAAACGCAAAATCTCGCTCTGGCTCCCACATCTCCGCCACCGACTGCGGGAGGTAAGAGCTGGCCACGCCAGCCACACCGCGGACCATCATCTGCGATGACCGCCTAAGCATGCTGCTGAAGGAACCGCTTGGCTGTCTCCTATGACCACCAGAGCCCTTGTTGCCGTTGTCCGCAGATGGTACTTCACCACCATTGTGTGAGGGGTCATTGATCTCAAAGCTTCGCGACCGGGCTCCCTGCGCTGTACCACCCCCTGGCAGCATATTCGCGTTCTTCTGGGTGTTGAGCAGACGGAAGATGTGCACGGTATCCGAAGTCGACGAGACGCACAAGAGCGTGGAGCTCAGGTTGAAGGACATGCTGTAGATCGAAGTAGGGACCGTGCCTCTCCGGAACTGGAAGAGCTTTTGGCCTTGGGGAAGCGAGAAAACGCGGATGATGGTGCCCGTTTCGGAAGCGGTGGCGAGCATGCTGCCGTCGTGGTTGAGAGCAATGGCGCAGAGAGGGGACTTATGGGCCTCGACAACGTTGACCGTCTTGAGATTGAGGGCATCATAGACGAGCACATCGCCGCGCTTGGGCGGAACATATTGGCTTGGTGGCGGGAGGTGTGCAGGAGCCTTGGCACCAACGTCTTCTCGCGGGTTGGGACGAGGGTAGACCAGATAGCAGGAATCGGACGAGGGAGATAGGGCGCAGATGGCATTGGGATTCGGCGAAGTGTCGATTGTTTGGACCAGGTTCATGTTGGACACATCGTAGAGGTAGATCTGGCATTCGAGCACCACGGCTAGTCGTTTACGGTTCAGACGGACAGCTAGGACGGCGGACGGGAACGTAAGCTCGCAAATAACGGACGCTCTCTGGGTTGGTAGAATGGGTCGCCGCATTAGTCTAAATTCGGAGGGTAAACACTGGCGCTGGGAGGGCTGGTCTACCTTGGTGTTCTGGATCTCGAGTTGCCTAGGCGTGAGGATCAAAGCTACTAGCGAGGTCGAAAAGAGCATCTCGATAATGGATACATTGCCCTCATCGCTGCTGAAGATCTTGGAAAAGGGATCAGTGTGGTAGAAGCGAAAGCCCTTGGAGGTGCCAACAGCCAGGCAGCTGTAATCCTGGTTGAAGGTGATGAAGTTGAGGGTGCCTCCCGTCATGGCGGCGGTGCTCCCTTGGGCAAGGGAGAGGATGAGCAGAGGGTATCAGGAGGTCGATAGGGCGAGTGGAATATAATGATACGTTTGACGTTGTCGAGATGGGCCAAGAGGTTAATACAACTGAAGGGATGGAATGTTCGGTTTGTCCGTATGTTCTTTCTAGGTTGCCTGGACCGGAGATGGAAATGTGTAGGTAGGTGAAGCCAATGAGCCCTTGAGGAACTGTTGCCCTTGAGTGGGTTGAATATTTGGTTTTGTTGTAAAGAGAAAGATGCTCCCAAGGCGGCAGCGGGAGGTGGTGTTAGCTTGCGTTATCACTTATCGCTGCCAGCCTGAGTGCGGTGAGGTCAAGTGATGCAAGTGTAATCACCCACCCGACCAGCCGCGGATGAGCAACTAAGAGTGATCGGCGCTAATAAACCTTAGCCTAATAAAGCTCGGACCATACGATCACGGCGCCCAGAACCCCCCAAGTACCATTTCTCGCACGGGCACCTTGCTGGCTGCTGCAGCCTGACGTCCGCGTTCTCTCTTATCGTACCTTCTTATCAGTCACTATCTTATCAGCCAGGGATCAGGACCTGAAGCATAGAGGTACCTCTAGAGGTACCATCCAGTGTCACAACACCCTCACACCCTCACTGCTTTTCATGGAATCCTGATTTCCTTTAATACCATATCAACATTATTCTTTGCCAGATATACTATAGCATAATGACCCCTCTCATCAGCTGCTCCTCCTCCTCCTTGGTGCTGGCTCTTTCAACTATCAGCCAGACAATGACCGCCAACAAGCCCACCTCCGGTAATTATAGTTCTACACTCTCTGCCTTGGTTTTTGGGCTCTCCACCTTGTCCGTTGTCCCAGTAACCCAAACGACATCAGGGTAGCTTTCGAGTTCAATCACTCGATGGCCAGCCCTATCTCCTCTCAATCACACACCACACCCCCTATCACCTAACCATGATATTCCTAAACGACTCAGAAATGTCATTCGCCGTCGGGTTCTCATATCTCTCCGGACGAATCGACACACCCTGCGAAAGGCGTTCCTCCATCATCTTGAGCAACACAGGCGGCACCTTCTCATTCGTCGCTCTAATCGTCAACCGAACCATCTGCACATCGTTTGTTAGCATCCCTTGCATCATCAAAGTTGAACTGAGAGTCAAAACTTACCTGAGTACCATAATTAGGCTCCAACCTCATCAAACACCCAAACTTGCCTCCCTCACTCGTATGCACCACAGACGCCCCCACAAAGTTCTTACTGTTGGGATCAACGTTATACAACAATCCCCATCTGAACCCCTCCAGCACCTGCCTAACAAAACTCTCGGTAATCTCCCTCTCCCCATCCTTAGGCCCTGCCAGGCCAAAGATGCGCTGAGCCTCGCGCGGCGCCCCACCAATCTGCTTCCACCGCTTGAAGAAGTCATCAGCCGACAACTCGGCCTGGTCCATGAACTTGTGGATGACGACAGGCAGTTTCAGCGTCAAAGCCTGCAGGGCGCCGGCCAGATACGAGATGCGCACGGTGGGCGCCTTTTCAAAGACGCGCTTGGCTTCGAAGACGACCACCTGTTGCGTTTGCGCGCCCTGGTAGATGGTGGTTTCGGGGAGGCCCTTGACGTCCCAAGACAGGTTGGCGCGCTCCGAGGGGTCGAGGTCGAGCGTGGTGGTAAAGGAGCCGATGACTGCGGGCGTCTTGTTGGTGAAGTAGAGGATGATGGCCGCCATTTGGCCGCGGTACTCGGCGCGCACGCCGACTTGGATTTGCCCGTCTTCGAAAAGGATGCCGTCGGCACGCAAGAGGAGCCGGTTGAAGCCCTTCTCCCATCCGGGGGACAGGTGAGCGGCGCTGGCGAGGTTGGGCGGCTTGATGACCTTGGCTTCGGCAGGACCGATGTTGTTCATGTCCAGACCGGCAAGGTCGTTGGCGGATGAGGATCCATTGGTGGCTCCTCCGGCGGCCGCCGCCGCACCACCGCCGTTCGTTGGTCCGGTCTTGGTGCTAAAGGTCCGCCTGAGACTGGCCTTCTTGGCTAAGCTGAGCTCTGCACTGTCCGCGTTGGCATCCTTGCCACCGACGATCCAAGTCCTCTTGTCGCTGGTGTTGGCGTGCTTCTCGTGTAGCCTGGAGAGTAAGGCGGATTCTCTTTCGGGGAATGGTGGCATTTCATCGCACACCGTCCGAAGGAGGTCGTCCGTGGGCATGCTTGCGATGGCCAGGAACTCGCAAGCACGCTGCTGCAGTTCCGCATCGAGCGTGTGGCTGTAGATGCGGAACACGTTGACGAGCTGGGGCTTGATCTCCGGGAACAAGTTGACAAACTTGATGAAGCATGAGAGGATCATGGCTCGCGTGCTAGACGAGCATGCAGAAAGCTTGCCTTGAAGAGCCAGGAACTGTTCTATAGGGCTGGAACCTCTCTCCTCGGCAATGAGATGGCCAAACTCGCCCAAGATATAAGCGCCAATCTTGACGAGTGTCTCGTGGCAGTGGTCCTGCTTGCAGTACTGGAGAATATTTTGGGCTGCGTACACCTGGAGCTCCTCGTTGTTCGTAACAATTTGGGTCACTCGCTGCCAAACTTCGTCGCTGACGTGGTCGCCAGCCATGGCAATCAGGCGCAGAGAGATGTCGACATACCATTGCACGTCGGTGGCGTACTTTTCGGTGAGAATGGCAATCTTGAGGACCATTTCCTCTCGGATGGCGAAGTCGGCGTTCTGCAGGTAGTGTAGCAACTCGGCCACAATCTGCTGGGCATTCGACGTGTCGCACATGCTGTACAGCAGGTCAAGACCCTTTCTCCGAACACTGATATCCCTGTCCTTCAGAGAGCCGATAATCACATCCTGATGCTGCTTGATCGGTTCGAGGGTGTCGGTTCGTGCTGCCAAGTGCGTCATGGCTTCGAGACCGAGATAGCGGACATTCGTCTCTCGCGACTGGATGAACCGGCCCAGTCGCTGGGATACCTGCTTCATGAGGTCATGCTCGGTATCGAGATGGATGATGAGGTTGATAGCCTCGAACAGAACGGCGTTTTGCGCATTGTTTTGCTGTACGTTCTTGTTGCTCTCCAAAGCCAGGTTGAGAATCTTCTGCAGCGAATCGCGAATCATGGACCGAACATGGCTATCCTCGGATGGCGGGAAGTACTGCAGTAATCGTAGAAGCTTGACCTGGATCCATGGACAAGGCACCTTGTAGTAGAGGTAGTCCTGGCTATATTCTCCATCGATGAGGATCCGTTTTAGCCTGGCGGCGGCTTTAACATAGGCACCCTTGTATTGCTCCGTGTTATCCTGCGCCAGCGCCATGACAAGGGATGTTACCGATAGAGCCACGCCCATGTCGGTATCGTCCATTAGAGATATTATACGTTCCGCCCATTGAGCCTGGACGATGTCTGGGTATTTGCGGTATAGTCGGAGCAGTGTGAGTGCCGCCTTTTTCTTGACGAAGGCCTTCGATGTTCTATACGCGCTAGGTCAGTATAACAATGCGCCGCTTCCTGATAGACGAAACCACATACGGGGAAATCAGAAGCCTGTGAACCTCGGGACTCAGCGCTTCACTTATCTCCTTGCCACCGACGTTCGCAATGGCGTGCAGCGCCAGGCAGTTGAACAGTTCGTTATGATCCATCAAGTCCTTGCGAATGCTGTTGACGACCAAGTGTAAGAGCTCGTGCTTCTCGTGGAGGAATAGCGTCATAGCGAGGTAACCGATCTGCTTTTCCGAGTACTTGTTGGCCGAAATTAGATTAACGGCCTCTAGGTGGCCAAAGTCGACGTTCCATCCCAGAATGTAGATATAAAGCAGCTATTGCGAATAGTGTTAACCGTGATGTTCTTCGCTCTGGCGCAAGTGGACGCTCAGGGGTTTGGTGCGGCGCATACCTTGCAAACGTATTTCTTCTTGTGATATCCGCTCAGGCTGCCATCCTTGAACTTTTGACGAATGTTGGCCAGCTCCTTGTTGATGCGCTTCTCCTCGAGTTCCCTAGCCCGAGCATTTCGGAGATCGGCAATGAACTGGACCAGACCGCGCATGTTGGAGTTGCTGCTGGACGAGCGGCCCAGGAAGCCGGTTCCTGTTGAAGACGACATTATGACGGTTGTTGTGGGTTGGTTCGGGGTATCTTTGTGTGATTATGTTTCGTATTCGAAGCTTCTCTGAGCCTGGCTGAGTCGGTCACGTATGCACGGTTTCGTCCAAGGGGGGAGCTTCGCGGTTTCCGGAGAGCCAAATAATTCCTCTTTGCTGTTTTTGCCGACCTTTCACACTGAGCGCATCACGAGCAACGGTGTTGATCCATCGACATTCGATAATAAACAAGCTAATAATCGTAGCGGCACGGCGGGTGGTCGTCGGAGTTTAGTGTTCTGGCTGAATGGTAGAAGTTGCGGTCGGCGTGGCGGCTGACAGCATCGATCGATGTCCCCCTCTGTTGAAGTGCTGGTCGACCAAAGTGGAAGTTCGCGATGCGGTCCGTTTCGATGTTTCGCGGTGTACGGGGTATCGGAAAGTCGACTGAGACAAAGACGGAAACCAGGGGTCGCGGAGACAATGAAGGGCTGGCAGAAACACTTGTCGGGTTCGCGACGTGTTCTGTGTCGAGTTGTGGGAAGGTCGGCGTGGTCGGCGGCTCCGGACTGGTTTGTCGAGGATTCTCAGGGTTCAGGGGGACTGGCGGACGGCGACGGGCGGATTGGCGATTCCACTGCAAAATAAAGGGGATCCCCATCCAATAACTTTTACCCGCTGTACTATAGCGGGCACCACGCTGTAACGAATGTCCTTATCAGTCAATGTAGCGCTTCTTATCACGAAATGGGCGCCACAATGCCCCCTTTTTGTGGCTAGTCACACTTATAAACCCCGGCAATAAATGTGGCTTCCACGCTATCGAGAGGAGCTATGACGATTTAGATCCGCCTTGGCATCATCAATCCGCGGTACCTCGATGTCCGCGTACCATCGTCTTCAGACTCAAAACTTCCCCTCCACGAACTCTTGTCATGATGCCAGAGCCGGGCTCAGACTGCGACGGCTTCACTATACTTCGAGGATGCGGTTGAATTTGGCTCCAGTCTGCCGGCCGCAGCAATGGAAACCGCTCCTCACGGGCGGGACGGCCCGTCGATCATACGCGTTTCAGTCCGGCAGTCTCAACTTTGAAGTCTTCAACCGTCGCGCAAAATGGTTGCAGAAGGAGAGGGCAGCCGCCAACGTCGAAGAGGGTCGACAAGCCGACTACCTCAAGGATGAGGTCGCCATGCGCGTGTGCGAGCGTCTTTTGGTAAACCTTTTACCTCCTCTACCTTGTTGCTCACCACTAACACCATCCCCCTCCAGGACGTCAAACGCCAATTCCCCCGCGTCCTCGACCTCGGCGCCAACTCCTGCAACATCGCCCGCGCCCTCCTGCGCCCGAACCCAGACCCCGAATCCGAGCCCCCCGTCACCGACCCCCTAGCAACCAAGATCACCGAGCTCGTCGCCGCCGAATCCTCGCACTCCCTCCTCCACCGCGACCACGACCACCCCTCTCTCTCCACCGCCCATGTCCCCGACTTCAAGCTCAGTCGCCACGTCCTCGAGCACGACGAGCTCCTGCCCTTCGAGCCCGAAACCTTCGACATGGTGCTCAGCAGCATGTCCATGCACTGGATCAACGACCTGCCCGGTGTCCTCTCGCAGATCAACAGCGTGCTCAAGCCCGACTGCCCGTTCATCGGCGCCATGCTCGGCGGCGACACTTTGTACGAGCTGCGCACCTCGCTGCAGCTAGCCGAGCAGGAGCGCAAGGGCGGCATCTCGCCTCACGTCTCGCCATTGGCCGACGTGCGTGACGTCGGCGGCCTGCTGCAGCGCACGGGGTTCAAGATGTTGACGGTGGACGTGGAGGATATTGTGGTGGACTACCCGGACATGTTTGCGCTGATGCAGGACCTGCAGGCGATGGGGGAGGGCAACGCGGTGCTGGGGAGGGAGATGGGACCCATTGGACGGGATGTGTTGCTGGCGGGTGATGCGATTTATAGGGCGCTGCATGGGAACGAGGATGGGAGCATTCCGGCCACGTTTAGGATCATTCACATGATTGGGTGGAAGGAGAGTCCGGATCAGGCGAAGCCGTTGAGGAGGGGCAGTGGGCAGGCGAGTTTGAAGGATTTGTTGGAGGGTCAGTGAAGGGGGAGAAGGGAAGAAGATATCGACAGTATACAGAGGGAAACGGAACTCGAATAGGAAATGGAAATACGTTGAATCAAGGTTTTTGAGTGGTTGAGATAAGGTTTACATGTCGTCAAATTAAGGTTTCCGTGTCGTTGGGCTAAGTTTTTTATGTTGTTGGAACTAAGTTTCTTTGTGGTCCAAATCAGGTACGGCGTCGTTGGAACAAAGTATTCATGTCGTTGGAATAAGGTATCCAGGGAGGTGACTGAGGCTGTTGGTGTAGTTGAAATAAGGTATCCAGGGAGTTGGCTCACGCTGTTGGTGTAGTCCAAATAAGGTGCGGCGTTGTTGGAAGCAGATATTCATGTCGTTGAATCAAGGTACCCAGGGAGTCAAGTCAACCTGCTGGTGTAGTTGAAATAAGGTGTTGTTTGTTGTGGCTTGCCTCTTCGAAGGTTGTTGGTCCTGGAACCCTGGCTCAACCGCTCCCTTACATCTTGGAGCCAACAACATCCTGAAGGTGGCACAAGCCCTTGTTGGCGGCACGACGATGTTAGCCAGTTCCAACGAAAGTGGGTATTGTTTACACCTTCAGGGGCAAGTAAACATGACAATCGGGCCTGGGGACGAGAGAAGCCCAAACATGCCTACCCAAACCCTCCAGCTCATCAACCATGGATATCAACCTAGAGCCCCCTATGATGTGTAATGCGCATGTATTATTGCTGTGTAATGGTGTATATATCGCCTCGAATCGCATAACGCATCGCTTCAAACCAACAACCAGCTTTCCCTTCCCCCCTCTATAACCTCTTTATACCCTCCTGAAGTCAGTCATGACGCGGCCTATGCAACCCAACCCAGCAACCTCGACAACCTTCTCATGCCAGCTCAACAGAACGCTCATAGCCGAACCAGTCGACTCGTTCGCGGCCATAGGGCGCTGGCCAACTTGGCTGAACCCGGTAGCCTGGGGCGTCATGGCGCGAGCGGGCGTCGCCCTGCCGGAGCCGTCGGCGGCGGAGGAGGAGGAAGTGGCGCCCATGCCTTTGTACCTATATTTCGCAGCAGTAACCCATCCGTTAGCTATCTGATCTGTCACCGCAAATCCACCGGAGAAGGACAAAAAGAGAACTCGCAAAAAAACATACAAATACTTCATCAAAACATCCAAACACTCGCTCCCCCCCTGCTGTCCATAAATCCGCTGCAACATGGGCGTCATCTCGCTCGCCTTGATGCTCTGCAGCACCTCGATGACCGTGTGCAGGTGCGTCTCCTTGGCCGCTTCGGACCCGTTGTACACCGGCATCTCCAGACACCCGCGCAAGGCGCCCTCGGCGTCGCCGCCCCTGAGCAGCTGCCGCACCTGCCCGTTGATGGCGCGCGCGTCGGCCTCGCTGATTTCCGGAAGGGGCGGGTGGAGCGTGGAGACGTCAAAGTTGACGGGTGAGTCTTCGGTGAGAGCGTCGATGTTGATGGTGCGCCAGGCGTCGCTGAGCGTTGCTTGCGTGTGTTGCTGGATGATGGACATTGTGGCTTTGGTGGTTGGTTGGTTGGTTGGTTGGTTGGTTGAGGTGGTGACGGCGGTGTGAGTGGCCCGCGTTCTGTTAATTAGGAGGGGTTGATGGTTGCGATTGAAGAATGTCCGGCTCGAGTCAAGGGCGAAGTTCGTGAATTACCCGATTGCTGTGTTCTCGGTCTTGGGGATCTGGGGGGTTGGCGCTGGAGGCTAGATTTGTTTGGCGGTGTTGGTGATGATGCTTGGACTGTCTTGGACAGTGGAGGCTTGAACTGCAGCTAGGCAGGAACAGCGCTGGGGGCCGTTGCTTCAATGCGCTGAACGGGGGTGGCATTGGAGCCTTGGAGGCGGCCCCTCTCACTGGTGGGCACAGCTGGGCACCGGGTGGGGCCGCGGATACCCACGGCATGGTTTGTTGCGGGCAGCTGGAGCCTGGAGCCGAGCTTCCAAGCTTCCATCCCGTCACAAGCTCCAGGTCCCGGCCCGGCTCCGTCACTGGACCCCACTCCGGCCCGGTCCCGGCGTTCTTACCCGTGCTTGCCTTATCAAACTTTCACGTTCACTGTCTGGACTGGTGTTTACTTCCTTACACCCAACCTCAGCGGTGCGCCTTCCATGAGGGGTGACTTCAAGATGGCGGGTGCCATCCACTTTCTGGCCTGCTTCCCTGGGAGCTTCCCTAGCGGCATTGGTGATTCTTTCCATGGACACTCCCTTTCAACAATTTCTGCAAATGTTCCTGCTCAAAAATAGGAACGTGGTTGGCTCTAGGAATGGGAGGGATTGTGATGGCAGTCATTATCCGCCGAGAACAGCAACTCGTAAGTATTTTAACCCTTGCTCGAGCACCATCTTCTCCGTGCCTCTTCACAAGCTTACATGACAGCATTACCATGACCATGACCACGACCATGACTATGACGACCAAGCCCAACTCATACTTCGCCTACAAGCGTGATATCAGCCCCCTCGTCTACTGGGTCTTGCAAACATCCAACGCTCTCATCTGGTCTCTGCCATCGTCATACCCAGACGCCCCTCAAGTGCCTCTCGACAACCCGGAGATCTCTCTTTCAAGCCTCGTTTCCCTCTCCAAGCTCATCGGCAAGCACGTTGATCCGGGTGATGTTCCGACCCCCGTCCTGGGCTTGTTTCAATCCGTCATCGACGCGATAGCGACTTCCCATGCCACTTTTCAACGTATCGCAACCAAGAAACCACACCCTGACGTCGAGAATGGCAGTGCTTTCCTCAAGAGCTTCGTCGAAGACCTGAGAGAATGCCTCAACGCTCTCGGCGGTTGGAATTGGGCCCTCCATAATTATACCTTGTCAGACCGCCTGTCTTCCTGTCTTCCCTTAACCAAAGAAAAACTCGACTGCATGGTAATCAAGGAGTTTGGCGCACTCGATCTCCCTGAAGCTCCCGAGGCCGACCAAGACTCGGAGCAAGAGACGCCTCAGCAAGTCGGTCCCCGGGTTGGACACCAGCGGAAACAAGCTAAACCCGGAAAAGGCAAGAAGGGGAGGCGTAAGAAAGACCGCGAGACATCCAAGTCCAAGGTTGAGGATACCAAGAAGGGATCTCTCGACGACGTGTTCGGCAAGGAGCCGCTGGACAGTTTCGATCTCACTCTGGATCAGGATGGTACCACTATAGGTTGTATCATGGCTGTCTACGACCTGTTCAAAGAATGTTTTGATCTCAGAGCATATCTTCAGGACGTGTGGTACGAGGTTGCCTACGAAGGGCTCAACAGTGCAGTAGCGGGTGCCCTTTCCAACACCGCCCGTATCATGATCCAACGTTCTACAGACACCATGTTGGCAGATTTCCCTGACAAAGACTCTTATCAGAGCGTCATAAACACCATGTCCTCCGTCTTTGGGTTCAACGCTGAGCCAGAGGGCACAGGAGCCAATAGTCGAGACGAGCACCTCGCGGATGTCAAGGAGATGTTTCTAGTGCATGCCTACCACGACCTTCTTGATTTCGTCACTGACTACCAGAAGAACCGAAATGGTAAACCGACAAAACGGATGATGAAGGAAATCAACAACTGGAACCCCGACTTCGACCTCCAACGCGCCACCATGGAAGAGCGTCTCAAATGGCGTCGTTCCTATACCATCAACTGGCTATATGACCTACTCAGAGTCTTCTCTCACAGACTGGAAGAGATGGACGCGGCCATTAAAAAAAAGGTTCCGGACGTCATAAAGCGTCGACAAGCACAAACCCAAAAACTGTTGGGGATCACGGAGTTTGCCGCGCTTATTTATCGTCTCGCTACCGAGAAGCCCGGCATTGACATTCGCGAGCAGGTCCTACCCCTCCATGTCTTCCAACTGCAGTGTATCGTCGATTCGCTTGCCGTGACAAAGGGCTGGACATATGATCTACTCAAGGGGCACGTTTTGATTGGACCTCCGCCCGCCGACAGATTCCGGCCTATGCGCGATGTAGACACCTTTCTCCACGGCATCGGTGACCCTGGCCATCTACTCAAGGGGCACGTTTTGATTGAACCTCCGCCCGCCGACATATTCCGGCCTATGCGCGGTGTAGACACCTTTGACCCACGGCCAGGCTTCTTTTACGGATTCTCGCGGCTGAAAGCGACACTAACGTTCGAGGCCGTTGTGAACAAGAGGAAGACGGATAACGATGTGCACATCCAGGAGTTACTCGAGGCCGCCCACGGTATAGGTACTCAGTTTCTCGGAAAGTCCCCGGACCTGGGGGATGAATCCCGATTTTGCACGACAAATTCAAACGGGTTGTGGCACTATTCGCCTTTTCTTTGCGGCGTCGGTCTTGTAGAAGCTCTGGACTTGGAGTTTCTCTTAATCCTGTATGTCTGGGGGCACCATCGTGAACCTGTGGTGCTAATGCATTTATACAATATGCTGCTCCGAGAAGGCTATCTCGACAAGCCTATTGATTTGTTCGAAAGCCTGCAGCGGCTCTTCCAAAGTGGCTTCTTCCAGAATGGAAAGATCCCTGTTGCAGACTATGGTGTCGCCCTACCTGAGTTCTTAATCCCCCTCGAGAAGAAAGTGCTGAACAATAAAGGAAAGATCAGATTCCCGAGTGGTTTTGGCGTACCCTGTTGTGTTACGATTCCATACGAGTCTTTCTTGGTCCTTTTACGCGAGGCAAAATGGAACGTTGACAAGATCTCTGATGCTGAGGTGCCTCTGTCTTCACTTCTTGCGAAGCTTCGTATCGCTCAAACCGAGCAAATCTTTGATCCCGACACCGGTAAAAGACGTTTGAAGGAAACAGTCCTCGTTAAGCGGGCCAAGGCCGCATTCATCTCCGAAGGCCTCGCTGAAGGCCTCGCCGAAGAAAAGTTGCTAGCCATTGCGGAAGCGCTGGAGGAACTCAACTCGGTGGAAAAGCAACAAGCAGAGTTTTCAGCTGACAAGGTGGTCTACACAACGCCGCAAGGTTTCAGCAACAGCGAGTGGCTCGACTTCATGAAGGTCGATATCATGGCCGATGTCGATGGCGACCATCCGCTATGCGGCCTCAACTTAGCCTGGCTCACGTGCTACATGATCGAAATCTTCGGCAAAATCGAGCGGGAGTTGTTCGAGCTTCGCAACGAGACTTTGCGTGGTCTTTGCAATGATAATGGCCAGTATGATAGCAGCAAGTGGAGATATAAAGGGGCAGACGGACGCTCTCTCCTGATTGTGGAGGCCATGACCAAAAAAGACGAGCAAGTTCTTGAGGTCGCCGCTAGGCATCTCACAAACCCTCTCAAGTCGTTGTCGGACTTTATCCATTGGGATAAGCTCAGGATTGGCGCCGGGGGATCATCGCCGCCGACGGGTGATGAAGCTACCGCCGATGCCTGTGTTAGTACTGTCGAGAAGAAGGACGTTCATATGGATCAATGCGTGGTTATCAAGGGCGTAGCTATGGATGACGGCACTGTGTGGGTTAGGAATTGAGTAGATAAATTTTTTTTTTCTTTTTGTTTTGTCACTAGCATGCACAACAGTATATCCTAGTGTTTTGTTACAGCGTATGATATTCAAATTCTTCTTCTTTCAATCTTCCCACCTTGGGGTGGAGATCACAAATTCTAACTTCTCACATTCGCTCTGACGATGTGAACCACGCAACTACTACTCCGTGCCGGTCCGTTTCCTATGATATTACTTGTCATGGCTAAAAAAACGTCTCAGACCCAATGCTACGTGAAGGGGAAGAGGCCAGGCGCTTCTAGCCCTCACGAGTACGCGGACGGAGCTCTCGCTCGGTAACCCGGGTTTATCTCGCGGCCAGAAACCGAACAGGTGGAGTAAGAACCTCCTTTTGATATCGATTTCCCGTCCCCATCGTCTTTTTTTAGGGATCTACATCAACTGAACGCATCTATTTCTACTCAATATACGTTTTGTTTCAGGTTTCAACAACAAGCTATGAACGGTTGTCATTACTCCCCTCAAAAACCCAGCTCGTGGGATGAGAAGTACCGAGCATTTAACCAGCGGTTTGCCGCTCTTTGTACCTTGGATCAAAGGAGTTGGAGTAACTTTAGAGTCGCCTAGAGTTGTAAGGAAATTCAAATGAACGTAAGTAAACCGGAATACTGCAAAGTTTTGGGGTCTTGTTGTTGAGTGTCTCGAGGAGGTATACATGTTGAGGAAGGGCGTGCGCACAGGGCGTCTCGTTAACACTATAATATTGATCCTTGTCTGTTTCTTAAAAGCCCAGAAAATGGGCAATACAAGTACATACGACCATACCCACTGGAAAACTCGGGATCCCGTCCGCTCTCCCATAGATAAGCCAGTGAGGGCCAGACTAGTAGTTGGGTCGGTGACGACCAGCGAATCCCTGGTGTTGTATGTTTTTTTTTTTTTTTTTTGCATACCAATCCTTTTTTCATTTTTTGTTCCGCTACTAAGTTCATTTTCTTCCATTTAATTGTCAGGGTAATTGCGGATTGCAGGTCAAATTCATTCGGGCTGTTTCTCAACTTGAGCCGATTCATCTCTACCATCTGTTGTCTGAATAAAGTTCGCCAACGGTACGAAACGCTAGAGCCTCAATGTTGTTTCACTGCTGCCGTCACAGTGTTCAGCCGCATCGCTCGACTGTTTGATGTTGGTTGTTGGTGATGACAAGAGTCCAAACTGTTGTTGGGAGGAAGACCTGTGTTCAGGAAGAGCCCGAGATCGAAGCAATCACGCACAGACCACGACATTGTTTTGAGGGTCGGAATGGCTCCAGTTTACCCCTTTTTTTCATGTTTATCTTCGTTCCCCTTTGGTTGTTATTTTGTGATCCGCGGCTTTGCTTTCGCATTTATACCATTATACCATTCTAATGGACAGTAATTATTCACTCCGCGATTGAACAACAACGCTGATGGGTCAACTAACCGCTAGATGGTTGCTGGCAGTCTCAAAGCTTGATTGTGGCACTTGACAACACAAAACTGGGTAGTAAAACGCCTCGTAAACGCCAAGTATTCCCAGAGACAATGTCATACATAAATTAGGATTCTTGGAGTTGTTGCCACCAATTCCTGACCAAACGTGTCCCTCCCATAACGCGACAACATGCTTTCTCGACAAAATACTCATAACACCCTCCTCTTCTGATTTCGCGAGCCCTCAACGCAGCTTCACAGGAAGTAATCACCCAGACCCCTACGTCCTGCGGGGATATGCCGTTGATCGTCTGGCACGGCCGAGAAGATGCTGAACTTTGTGTTCTGGTCGCGGTCCACCGTCATGATGGAGGCTACGTTACCACAGCGGTAACAGTAGTTGGGTGCCGACCATACTGTTACGACCGACTTTTCGGCGAAGTGAAACTACGAGGTAAACCCAGGTCAGCTAGCAACTCCCCTCATAAGTAGCAAGTATGAAAAACGACAAACCTTGTAACCCTCATTCACCAGCTGATGCGCTCTTGCAATCGTCGTCAGACCGTTGACGTGGTTAAACTCTGTCGCGACCTTATCTCCGAACAACCAACCAGCGCCACGTGGACTGACAGCCCATGTGTCGACGTCTTCCGGGTCACTCCACACAAGATCGCAGAAAGCACCCTCGTGCGGGATCTCCTGGGCACGCGCAACGACGCGGATCTGGTCAATCGTGCGGATCTCGGGACTGAGACCGCCGTGGACGCAAAGAACGGTACCGTCGACAATAGCGGCAAGGACAAGGAAGTCGAACACTTGGCAGCATGCCTTCCAAACAGACGCGTTGCCGTACTTTTGCTGGCACTCCTCGTAAAAACCGTAAACCTGGGTGATTTGTCGGGACTCGTGATTGCCGCGCACTAGAACAATGCGATCTGGGTATCTGTTGGGGCGAAAGCGTTAGCAGCGTGAATCGAGCCAAACAGGGATTGGGGATCTCCGTACTTTGCCTTTAGACACATGAGAAGGGTAAAGGTCTCTAAACTGAAGTACCCTCTATCCACAAAGTCCCCGAGGAAGACGAAGCGAGTGTCGGCCGATTGAGAGCCCGTGTTGGCACTGGACTGGGGGGTATCTTCACTGGCGGATTCCTCATCGCTTCCAGTCCCACCCTCGCTGTCTGTACTGCTCTTTATCTTCTTCTTAAGGTTTGGATCTGTGATTTCCGTCGGGGGCTCGATGTCCTCGGATGTGATGACGGTTGTTGCTGTCTTGGGCGCCTGGACGTTTGTCTCGCCAGGCATGCCACCAGCGACGCGGAAGAGTTCGAGGAGATCGTAGAACTGGCCGTGAATATCACCGCAGATAGTAACTGGCGTAACAACAGGCTGGATGTTCGATTCTGATGACGTGGGGACACAAGTCAGCTGGACAAGTTCCCTTGTCGTGCGCGGCTTGGAACACGGGATGTGCGCGCGCGTGTTCCTGACTAGTAGTTGGTTCTCAAGTACCTTCCATTAGAACTTCCTTGACAATCTCGCAGAGCTGCTTCATGACAGGCTCAGGAAGGTAATGACATTGTTTCGCCTCCTCCAACCACTCATCTAGACCGGCTCCGGGGCGAAGGTTAGCCGGACCCGGCTTTGGAATGGTAGACATGGTGAATGGTGGTATCTAATCGGACTCGAGCTTGCTGGTATACGGGCCGCAAGAACGGAGGATGGTGGGCAGCGGGCGAGTATTAATCGAAGGGATGCTTGTGTAAGGTTGCGATAGAACTCGTGCGCAATCGTCGAGGTCGCTAGATGAACCGCGGTTCGCAAGTTGTCGTGATCGGGGGGTCCTGCTGTCAAGCGCAAGGGCCAGGGCTGAAAGATGTCGAATGTGTTGGGTTGTTGTTGGTTGTTGGGATGAAAGGATGACGACGATGCCGAGCGCGGGATCTGGATGGTTGACGTTGATGGGGCTGAAATCGACCTCGACCTCGACCGTGACCGGGCTCCCACTGGAAACTGGGACCTGGCCAACTGCAGTTCGCGGACACTGGGCGAGTGCCCTGAATGGATTGCGCTGCAGGTCACATTACGCACGCACATTGGCGCCGAGAGCTCCCCCTTCGGCCGCTGTGGGGTCTGTGCTCTCCCTTAAAGTTCTGGATCCCCGGAATTGTGTTGCGGGGCACCTGGAATATGGATTTCTTATCAGAATCCGATAAGGCTGAGCGGTACCTTAAAGACCAAGCTCCACTCTTCCACTTCACTCGCGGCACCAGCCGTGCCCTCTCACCAACATCCAACTGAGAGCTCGCCTCAACTGTCTCTCCATATAAATCCCCCATCAGCCATCGATCGATACACGAACCATCATTCCGCCAACACTGTTACCGAAACATGAGGCTGTGAAATCCCCGATCGAAACTTTGACCAGCACCCACATCTGCCCCGACCATTGCCAGCCAACACGCTCCCAAAATTCAACCATGATGGCGGCGCCTCAGCTGCTTCTGCGCAAGCCTAATGGCACCGCTGCCGGCCAAACCACCAATGACACCCAGCACGCACCCAAGACCAAGCCTCAGCCCGAGGGTGAAAAGGTCGTTGTCCGCAGACTTCCTCCCCTACTAACCGAGGAAGAGTTCTTCAAAATCCTCGGCGACGAATGGAAGATGGGCCATGGCAAGGTCGACTGGTTTTCATACTGGCCCGGCAAAAGCTCCCAACAGTAAGGAAATCACCACTTCGTACACTAATGCTTACTAATGGTGAACGGCAGTCCCTCACGGCCATCTCGACCCTCCCGCGCCTATCTTCACGTTATCAGGAAAGATGATCTTCTAGTGCTCTCACAAGCCGTGCAGAATGTCGTGTGGGAGGACGCCAAGGAATCATACAACGACCCGGTTTTGATCCTGCCTCCTACGGTCGAGCTGTCGATTCACAAGAAGATTCCGAGCGACAAGAAACGGTTGGATAACCGCCAAGGCACCATCGACCAAGAGCCTGAATTCATGGCCTTCCTGGAGAGCCTTGCCAATCCCGATGCCCACAAGAACACAGATGCTGCTGGTGAACCAAATGCCGACGAAACATCGACCAAGCCGGAAAAGATAACCACCACGCCACTTGTCGAATATCTCAAGGAGAAGAAAGCACAGAGAGCCAAGGAGGCTGCACTTGCCAGGAGCGCCAAGCAACATGCCCGACAGGAATCGCAGGGAGGGAAGACAAAGACTGCCACCGCGACTATTACTCTCGAGGAGTTGAAGAAGCGGGCTAGAGAAGCCAAGGGGGAGAAGACAGATAAGGTCTCGGAGAAACCGAGGGACAATGTCAAGATTTTGACAAAAAGGGGCGCATCAGCATCAAATGCCGCAGCGGAAGCCGCCAAGGCTGCCAATACGGTTGCCAGCCAGATGCAGGACAACGCCCGGTCCAGCTCCAAAGCTGACACCCAGACCAAGGCCGCCCAGAGTTCGTCACAGTCCACCACACAGTCGGTTCCTTCAGGCGACGCACCATCAGAGCTTCCCAAGAGCCGACGGGCAGGCATCGCCGCAGCAGCACGCATCTTACAACGTGACTTGGGCCTCAGCCCAGGTAACGCCCACAGAAAGGCACGTCAGGAGGCAGCAAAGGCTGAGGCTGATGCAAAGGCCAGCGCTGCTGCTACTGCTAGTGCCAATGCCAGTGCTGCTAAAGAAACTGCATCCAGGGAGAAAAAGGAAAAGGAGGCAGCTCCTGTGCCGTCGAGCTCCGAACGTTCCTCGACACCAGCCAATGCCGCCGATTCTTCGGCTGCTGCGTCGCCTTCGACGTCTGCTAGAGGACGAGAGTCAGCCTCTGGAAGAACACGCGGCAGGAGAGGACGAGGTGGAACAATAGAAGAGGGACCAAAGTCAAAGGGAGCAGATGGCGGCAAAGAGACCAAACCTGCCGAAGTCGCGGCACCACAACCACCGGTAAAGCCGACGATGATCCTCAAGAAGAGGGACTCCACACAGGCCCCTCCGCCATCGGCACCCTCGGCACCTTCGACGCCTGTAGTTGCCCAACCGCCGGCCTCATCAGCGTCGCAAAAACCCACCACGCCCAAGCAGCCCTCCGCCGAAGGCAGGCAAAGGGGCCGTGGCCGCGGAGGCGAAACCAAAGAGAACACCCAAGCCAGTAACAACGCAGCCACCACCCCATCTACTCCTGCCCCGACAGGTCCCACCCAAGCCTTCATCAAGCACGCCCACCAAACACAGGGCGTTACCGAGTCGGCATTACGCGAGGCCATGCAAGCCTTTGGCGCCATCAACTCGATCGACATGCGGAAGAAGGGTCTGGCCTACGTCGACTTTACGGACCCCGAAGCGCTGAAGAAGGCCATAGCCGCGAGTCCCGTGACGATTGCGCGGGCCAGTGTCACGATTCTAGAGAGGAAATCGGATACCGATAAGAAGGAAGGTGGCGGTAAGGACAAGGACAGGGAGACTACTGCCACTGAAAGTGCGACGCCAAGTGCACCAGTTGAGAAGGAAAAAGCGGCGCCAGAGAAGGAAAATGAGAAGGAGAAAGAGAAAGCACCAGAGAAGGAGAGGGAGAGAGAAAAGCGCGATGATGAAAGAAGAAGGGGAAGAGGCAGAGGCAGAGGACGCGATGGCGGCGGCGGTGATAAGGATAAGGAGAAGGGCGACAAGGCCGAGAAGGGTGACTCGAGGGGAGGTCACGCAAAGGGCGATGCCACCGGTGCAAAGGAAACCGCTCCTCAGGGGGGAAGTGGTTCCGATCGTCCTGTTAGCGCACCCAAGGCCCCGAGAGGTAACGCTAGTTCTGCATCTGCCCGACCGACCTCAGCCCAGGACAAGGGCGAGAAAGACAAAGAAAACGACAAGGGTGAGAAGGGCGAAGGGGAGAAGAAGGGTGAGAATCGCCGTGGCAGGAGACGCGGCGGTAGAGGACGGGGTGGTGGTGGTGATAAGGATAAGGAGAAGGAGAAAGATGGCGGCGGTGGTGGTGGTGCGAAGAGGAGCGAGGGCGGTGGTTCCGGTCAGGCGGCTCCGGCTGCGTGAGCTTAGGGACGCGGAAGACGCTCAGGAGCACAGTCTTGAAGGGAAAAATGATGAGGAATGGGAAAGAGCATGACTAGTTGAGAGATAAGCGAAGTTTAATGACAGCGTATGATCAACATTCTTCCGTGCTTGACTGGCTGTCCCTACTGTGGCGAAGGTGTCTAGGGATTAATCGCATGCACTGGGCTTGAAGGGTGGTTGAGCGTACGGTAACTGCCGCACAGTTATGAGGATGAGGTTCAACAAAGTGCTGAACTGCGGGCAAAGAATGCCGATGGCTTCATCTCCTTCGTTTACAGATGAAGGTAAAGTATATATACTCATTCCATGCTCTTACAAACTAAGGCACGTTAATTCCACTCCATCACAAAACATCAAGTCTGGTTCGGATGAAAACCTGAGTCCCGGCCATTCTTTGCTATGCTATGCTAACTCCGTCTTATCCGGCAAAAAAAAAGAGAATTGAACCTTTCCAACGCCCACGCAGTATACCACTATACATTCAGTCCGTACCCTCTATTAATCAAAAGATTGCTGTCAGATCCGTGTTATTAGGTTCATCCAGTGAGGGAGGGGTATTTGAACTCCCATTCAGGCATGAGCGAAACTGAGATCAACTAGCCATACATACATAAGGTACATGGCCATTTCAACCATGCAATTCGCCGCTTCAACTGATATCGGTGTTTCAAACGGTCTGAGCTCCTCCTAATGCTAATGTACCTTATCCACAGGTACGACAGACACCGGACGATGCTCGGCCACTTAGGTTGCCAAATGACAACAGGCTCGCTCCCGTATCCAACCACTCCCCAGACCTCATGTCATACGAATTACGAGGCCCGGATGATGATGCTCTTTCCAGATATACTACCCCGTTATCAAGAGGGGGCAGACAGCCATCGACAGTATCCACTTGATGCACGTCTCTCCATTTCCTGCTCTTCAAACACAATTTCAGCGCCCGTACGTTGCTTTGAAGGGTCTGCTTCGTTTCGTTTATTGGGACATTGCTGTTCACGGCGTCCGTCCCAGATTGCGCATGCGTTCCACATAAAGAAGCCCAATCCGATTAATAACGACCGTACCAATCGCCGAGTCCGTGTCGGCGGCCACAAGTAGGTAGGTGGTCAGCGCTTCTGCCGGCGTTGGCAGGGTCGTAGGCATGGCCGTAGGCATTTCTTGGGGGAGGCTCGCACTTGACAAAATTGGTCCTTGTACTGCCGAAGTCGTGCTGGTGGACAACACCAACTCCTGGGGGCGGGCGTGCGGATGGTGCCAGCGTCTTTAACTTCTCCATTCTCGTAGCAGGCGCGAACATATCCTCCGACTCGAGACTGGCCAGGTAAGCCTTTTGCAGGGAAGCCGTCTTTCTCAGCAGGCCAATGGCGCCAGCAAATTCCATAAAGACGACTAGACGGCTATTGACGGGGAAGACGACGAGGTTGACAGCCAGGGCAATAGCCAAAGCGAGTAATATGGCTGTTACTAGCTGTTGGACAAAGTGCTTGGCGGCGGTTATAGTGGTTATAATAGGGCCGGAAGTCGCCGCGATATTGACCAAGATACTGTAAACAATGATGGGGAGGTCAAAGGCGCCGCATCTTTACTCTCACCACGTTTCCCAACCAGATATTAAAGAATAGCCAAACGGTATACATAGTAGACTGGCTCGAGTTGTAAGTCGGGTCTACGGGCAGTCGCGAGTGCTCGCCTCCGAAGCGCTGCCGTAGCTCCTGTGACCTCTCGACGATGCCCCAAGCAACTGGCCCAGTGACGCCCTTGGAGCTATTGTGTTTCCCTTCAGGCCCGTGGGGACTTGCTCAAAGTCCGAGAAGATTTGCACCTTCACGCGGCATGGTTGTTCGGAGATTGCAGCACAGGTTGTGGTGGCCGATGGCTGCTGGGGAATTGTGTTAGTCGGACTTGTCTTCTTGTCGGCGGAGCAGGGGATGATGGCCAGCACCTACATGAATGAACGGCCCGTAAATCGCATCCCCGGCCTTCACCAGCCAGTCAATCTCCTCCCCCGTTGGAGCGGCTGGGGTTGCGGTTGTGCCGTGGCTTGTGCCGTCAACGGTCATTCTTTACGAGAAACTGGGGACGGGTAGGGCTGGGTAATGAGAAACGGCTTGACGATTTGGGGTGAAAGAGTCTACGCCATCCGGTGGTGGGCGGCCTCTCAGGCTCATCAAGAATGTATAGAACTGGTACGCTCTAAAGCATGGGCAAGTGAATATGAAAAGCGCACCAGCGAACCAAAAACGCACTAATAGCCTTTGTAAGCGTTGGGGCGTTATGGATGGGAATGATGGGAAGGAATCGGCCAGGTATGTCGAGGCGGTTGGAGTTATGTTGCGCTTGAGGTTGCGGTTGAGGCTGCGGTTGAGGTTGCGGTTGAGGTTGGTTATCTTGCACCATATTTTCCTCTTGTCTCTCCTCCTCCTCCTCCTTCTTCTTTTTCTCCTTCTTGTTCGTCTTTTTCTGGCTGCGGTGTTTCTTCGTTCCCTGCCCTTTCACTTCTTCGAACACACACTAAGCTCCGTCCTAGGGGATCTCGCGGTTGTTCGCCCGAAGTTATGGTCATGCAGGGCATCGTGATGGAAGGCAACTTGGTGGTAGTCCCGCTCGAGTACACGCTGGTCGAAGAAAAGACGGATGATGAGTGAACAAGACCTTATGTCAATGTTTCCGGCCGTTTTGCTGTTGAGTGTAGACGTTTCATCCGATGGTAGAAGGGTGAGTTGGATGATGGGAGGCCAAAGCAAGTGTCGTGTAGACGTTTTTGGTGAAGGGCGAGGTAGGTCGATCTGTCCTTGAGGCAGTTGGAGTTCGGGAAAAGGCTTCATTAAAAGAACGAGAGTGGAGGAACAAAGAAAGCCAGCATTGAAGTGTATGATTGTGATGGCGATGCTTGAGGTGAGTTGGCGGGAAGTGAAATTGATCCAATGATGGGATGATTGATGAGGTGGAAAAAGACTGGACTCCCAAGGGCCGGCCGGGTTTAAATACCCAAGCAGTGGAAGACTGTGGTTGTGTGCACTTCCCTTGCAGTTTGCCACCTGCACCATAGGCACACCTTGACCGGAAGTAAGTGGTAACCGCCTGAGTCTCATGCCGTCGTTCGCAGGAAGCACTCCCCTGTCCAACGAATTTCCACCAAAACCACGACAAGCAGGATTGAGCGGTAACCCTCTGGGCGGCGGAAGCTCAAGGAAAGTGCATCTTCATGTCTTGGGGTGAAAGACCGGCGGAGGGAGATGGATATTCAACGCCATACATATGTTCCTACACTCTGTTCAGCTCTTGCCTCCTCTAGGACATCCCACGGACATATCAACGCCCACCATTTGATTTTTCATCCAGTCCTTGCTGTCAATTTCATCCTCCTTCCACCGCTGTGGTGTAACGTCCAACTCGTGAACATCAGTCTCAGCCGCCAGCTCGGCTCTTTCCTCCCGGACTCCTCCGGTTAGCTCGACCCTTTGCTCTGGCTGTCCCAATTCCACCTGCTTTTCCTCTGGTTGTTTCAATTCAGATGGTTCAGAGTGATCATCTCCTTTATCGGCGGCGGCCCTTGCCCTTTGTTTTTTTTGTTTTGTTCGTATGTAGTCCCATGCGAACATGCCGAAGATGAGAAGGCCGAGGAGGATGGCTCCGATTGCTATCCCGGCCTTTGCAGAGTCGCTCATGTCATTTTTTGAGTCTGAAGTTGCTTCGGGTGACTGCTCAGATGACGGTGATGTCGTTGGAGTTGTGGTTGGCTGGGCTGTTGAGACGGGGACATCGACGTCAATGTAGAACACCGGGGCTCTGACGGTTTGGTTTCTATGAGTGAGCGGGAAGGTGTAGACACCGTCTTCGTAAGGCACGACCGGTTTGGATCGAAAGTCATTGCCGTTCACTGTGGCCAGCTCGACGCAATGTTCGGAGACCTTATCGAAAGCTTGTTGAGCACTTGACTCATTAGGAAAACAGTCGTGTATCTCAGGGTCGAAGTCCTCGTGCTCGAAGCTGATTTTCACTGGCCTGGGGGCCACCTCTTCGTTATAGCCGTGATCGGGGATCCATTCTAAGAGTGAAAGATGATTGTCCGGGCCGCTGTAAATCGCATTGACAAGTCTGAGTTTGGCGCCGAGTACTCGGATGGGTGATCCGATGAGGTGAAGACCGAGCAGGAGGAGCGTTGTAGTCGGTCGTGACATGGCAACCCCTACCAGGGGCTGAATGCTCCTGGCACCGAATGTCGTTCTGGTCTAGCCAAGGTAAGAAGAAATGGTGTGCTTCGATTGACCGATACCCCCCGCCCGCGTAATGGTACCGTAATCAAGTGCAGTGCCGTATGGTCGCCGTTCCTGCCAGTTCAACCAAATGCACAATTGGGTCTGGCCTGCTCCTGCTCATGAAAACCGGAAGTAACACTGGGCGAGTGAACCAACAGAACAAGGCAGGTTTGCCTCACCGCGCACTTGTCTTGGCAGGCAGGCAGAGACATTGGTAGGTACCCAGTCGGCACCTTCCTAGCTTGACCGTGAGTAGTAAGCAACTCGCATGAACCGGAAAATGAAGCTAGAGATCTCTGTCCTATCTTAAGGCTGACGGTCGATGCAACGCTAGTACTTTCCCTTTTCCTAGTTCACGGATATTACTTGTAGGGGTTGGGAATGCGCCTCAATATGTCAGACCTCCAGAGTTACTACATTAAACTCCAAGCCCCCAGGCGGGGAAGAAGGTGTGCAATTGTTTTCTGATGATTATGAAAAGTGAACCTTCACGGGATTTTTCTATCTCGACTCGTGGCCCATTCCACCTTGAGAAAAGTCATACACTCCTTTCATCCGTATCTCGCGATGGACTCACGACGTCCAATCAAGCTTTAACCAGCCGACGTCCATTTAACCTTCATCCATCTGATGTCCATTTAAGCATACACCCAGCTTCCATCCAACAAACATCCCAACCGGCTTAACAAAAGTCATCAAGCCATCCCGTCTCCTTGTCTATAGAAGAGATGAAAGAAAGGGCGGCACGGACCGTGGCAAAGGCGAACAAAGAAAGATCGAACGAAGAGTGACCCAACAAGCTTCAACAACGACAAACTTCGCCAACAAGGTTTACCAACAACGTATACCGACCACAAAGAAGGAGGGACCAACAAGGTTCAACAACAACTATTACCGAGGACAAGGAAGGACGAACCAACAAACTTCACCAACAAACACCACAAACAAGCATCACTGAGGACAAAGAATGACCAACCAACAACCTTCAACGCCAACCGACAAGCTTCACCAACAACAAAGAAGGAAGAACCAACAGGCATCACGAACAAGCTTTACCAACAACCTAAAAGCATCAATACTTAACAAGCTTAACTAGATGAATGCGCGATAAGGTACGATACGGACCTGCGGTACGGACCGTGGCCAAGACAAACAACGAAGGACATCGTCGATAACACCGTTCAAAAATAGAAGCAGTAAAAGGGAACAAAGTATGCGCAAAAACCTAAAAACCTTAAATTGACTCCATACCGCCGCCACCCGCCGTTTCCGAACCTTTTCTAGACTACCTATCTATATACCCATCCATTCGTTGCAAAAACATAGCACATTTTTCATCCGCCCCAATCCAAGTACATGAAATCCATGGCATACATGAGTCCATAACAGCAGTACCACATCAATACATCCAATCCATGACAAAGGGAAGAACAAAACAATCAATCGACAAACGGGGGTATGTGTATGGGAATGGGGTATACATTGAAATGCGAAAACAAGATGTTCTACATGATTTTTGGGCCGCAGGGGTATAACGTGCTTTTATCCAGAAGAAGAAGATGAACAAGGGAAGCATGAAGAAGTGAACAAAAGAAACGGAGAGGAAACCCCGAAGGCGTGAGCCGACGAGGTGTTGGATAAAGTGGGAGTTGCAACCCGGAAAGAAGTGAAGATCCCGACGGGGGGATCCCGGAAGTGGGGTCACCGGCCGGTCGGTCAGGCACCGAGACGTTTCTCCATCAGCATGGTCACCGTGGTGAAGCCGCGATGACACTGACACACAGTGACCACTGTGGCTTTGACACATGGTGTGATGAGGCTTGTGTGTGTCAAGTGTGTGGACTCGGTGTGTGGTGTGGTGACAGTGACAGTGGTGCTGGAGAAGGTTTTGGGAAAACAAGAAAAAGTCCCGGTTGGCTTTCCACTCCTCACACGTGGGAAATTTCGATGGAGGGCTCGGCAAGGGGAAAGGAAGGGAAAGAGAAAGGAAAAAGAAGGAGAGGAAAAAGTCGTTTCAAATTCCCGTCTTGGCCTTGACCTCGCTTGGCCTCGGTCGGAACCTGACGTTCCTTGCTTCCTTCTCCCTCGTTCGTTCCTTCCTTCCTTCCCTCCTTCCCCGCACCCAAACCCGATGGGCCGATTGCCGACCTTACCCCTTGGCTAGCCTAGGCCGAATGGTCTGCCCCTCCGATTCCCGAACGGGAACCAAGGACGCAAATCGACCGATTGGGGATGGCGGGGTTGGATGGGTTGGACGGCTGACAGGGGGTTCGGGAAAAAAAGAAATTTTCTCTTCTGTTTCTGGCGTCCGTCCGAAAAGAGAATGGAAGCGAAGCGCCAGGAACGAGAAGAGAATTCTTGCCGGGGTGTGCAGGGCGCGATCGTGGGGCCAGCGTCACCAGCGTGTTCTCGTGGTTTGTTTGGAGGGGAGGATGCCGTTAGAACTGGGCCTGAATGGCGGCAGTGCCTGAATGGCGGCAGTGCCTGAATGGGTGCTACCGCTGGCGCGCGGCAGACTGCTTGCTGTCCTGTCAATCAGGCACCGAGAGAGGGCGGTGCAGCGGTGCTGGTAGCAGACCCCTGGAAGGTCCGCTTGTTTGCTTGCTGCCCACGCGTGAGCCTTGCTGACCAGCCAATTTCGAAAGTCCAACGAAAACGAGGTGCCTTGCAGGAGACGACAGCCCAATCTGTCGCCGGGTGCAGATGCAGATCCGAAGACTGCCAATCGGGGGAGGGGATTCAAAAAGGATGTGATGTAATGTTTGGCATGCAATGGTAAAAACGCAGAAAAAAGGGTCTCAGCTGCAGCGAAGCAACCAAAAAGAGGAGGTAGAAAAAAAGTATCCAAAGACGGGTGTTGTTACAATGAGCATGGCTTTTGCTGATGGTCGTGGCGATTGATCGAGAAACTTATTGTCTCCGCGGCATCTTTGCGCTAGCGATCGCCTGCTGGTGGTAACGGTAGTCATCATCGGCGGCATACCGGTTGTCAACGTAGCCAACAGGCGCTGGAACATAGACCGCTGGATGATGTGCCGGAGGAGCGGCAGAGCGTGGCGCGTACTGTGGTGCTGGATAGGAGGGCGCATTATAGGAGTAGCCATCGTAGGCATCTCTCCCGGAGACAAGCTGAGGGCCTGGAACCTGTGGTCTGGGTGCACCGCGACCAGAAGACTCAATGTAGCTATCACGCCGTGACTGGCCTCTGATGGTAGCCGGCGGGAGAGATGGGAGAGATTGGCTGCTGCTCTTGGCATCGTTGTCGTCGCCCCGGGTGCGGAAGCGGCTGCGGAGACGCTCCTTCTCCTCGTCAATGACCGGTCGTTCGTGTGCCAGTGCCAGTTGTCGCTCCCTCTCTAGCTGTCGCTCCCACTCATTCTCCATGTCCAACTTCTCGTGTTCTCTATGTGGAGCGCGTCGGCTCGAGCTTCGGCGAGGTCTCCTGTCATCCGATGAGTCGGATGGCGGGGGCATAGACATACTCTTGCGCCGGGGTCTCTTCATCTTTTCGGAATCGACGGATTCGCTCGACTCTTTGGGGTCCTTTAGGTCCTTGAGCTTCTTGGCGTCTTCGAGCTCCCGCAGCTTCTCGTTTTCCTCTTTGAGCTTGGTGTTCTCGCTGGTAAGATCCTTATTCTTTTGCACTAGCTCGGTATTCTTGGACTTCAGCTCGGTGAGCTGATCGGATAGGACCTCGTTTTCGTTCTGTTTCGCGTCCAGTTGTGCTTGCAGTGTAGCCTCACTCTGAATGACCTCCTTGTGATCGACCTTGAGCTTGATGTGAGATGCTTGAAGTCGTTCAAGTTGTTGGATTTTGGCCTGGAGATCTTTGATCTTGTCGTCTGCCTGCGTCAACTCATTCTTGAGGCGCAAGATCTCGCGAGCGTCCCGACGATCGTCATAATCACGGGGTGTGTAGGTACGATCACTGTTGGGAGCACCGCAGTCGCTACCACTCAGAGAACCGACTCCGGAATCGCTCCTTTGGTGATCGGAGTAGTGGGATGCACCCGAAGGGGAGTCGTCCCGGAATCCAACCTTCTTGTGGGACATGGCTGCTGCGGGCGTCGTAGTAGCCTTGAGTGCGGGTAGGTAGGTAGCTGTAGCTGTAGCTGTAGCTAGCTGTAACCGTAGGTGGAAGCGTATGTAATGGTAAGTTGATGATGGAAGGCTGAAGGGTGTTTTGACCAGAAGCAGCAGAGTGCAAAAATGTGTTTTGTGCTGATTTGACGGCACGAGGGGGGACGGTGCTGCAGAGGTGCCCGACTGGTTATATTATAAAGAGAGAGTGGGAGAGGAAAGGGTTGCGGGTAAAAAGAGACTGAGGCAGGGGGGATGGGAGGCCCGCGCCGAAATTGGATAGACTGGCGGCCGGTCTGACTACCTAGGACTGGTGTGGCAGGGGGTGCAGAGATGCAAGTAGACTCGGTACTTTGCGCGTAGAAGAGTGTACCTCTGCTCAGTGACGTCCAGGGGCGGGACGGCGGATGACAAGGCTATACCGGCTAGATTAGGAATGCTGATGCTGCCCTGGTCTGTTTGGTTGGGTTGGGCCTCAATGGCACCGAGAAGCCAGTCCGAATCCCGGAATTGGGCGAATAAGCGGAGCTGGAAGCCGAGGGTATAAAGCGCCGATGGTATGAAGTCCTGGGACAGGAATGAGAGAAGAGATGCCTGGTGGAATGGGTGGAAAAGATGTGCGGGTCTCACCGTCGTCACCCGGGAGACCAGACGTTTTTATTTTGTTTTCTCTCGGCGGCGGTGCCTCGAGGCAAACGCAAGCCATGGGCCAACTGCTGCCTTTTCCACTGCGCAATCCACCAAGCAAGCCCAATAGTCAGAAAACACAACGGAAGGGGGTACGAATTCGCACTACGACCACACCTTGGATAACAAAAGGTGGAAGCCGGGGCAAGGAGATGGCAAAGTACGGAACAGGATGGTCCAGGACTGGGCAGAAGCCAGGACTCTGGCCAGGTATCAACTTGTACCCAGAACTCGGGGCTGTAGCTGTGGAGTCACAATCCAGGCAGCTCGCGCCGGCTACCGACCACGAGGCTCACCTTGGTGACGAAAAGGGAAACAAGGTCATGTAGGTACTGGCTACTTGCATCCCTGTAATCTCATGGGGATCCATAGATCGGCGGTCCATGTCGGACCTTGCTAGAACCCAAGCATGGCGAGGCAGGGAGGCAGGGTCGGGAAACACAGCAAACACTGCATGTGAAGGTTATGGGCAAAGGAGCATAGGAAACACTGGGCATCAAACAGGAGGCGATTCTCAGCTCACTTCACTCACCTCCAGGGGCAACTGGGCCGTAACATCACGGCAAGGCTCCGACCAGACTAGAGAAGCAAAAGCGGTGATCAGGGTAGGTAATATAGGTGAGAAAATCCACAGCGGCACAGCCACACCCGGGCCTCCGTGACACGTCCGGCTTTTGGCTTTCACCAAGGCGTCCTTTGGGAAAATGGTCAAAAGTTGGAAGAAGGTTGGTCGTTTGCCATGACAGACGAGACGGTCGGGCATGTCATGCTGGCGACTATCGGGTTCTTGGTTTGCCTGGCTGCATTTGCGGAAATTTGATGCTCGTTGCTTTCTCGTGAGCTTGTCCATCTTGTGGGTTTGCGTGTCCTGCGCAAGTCCTGGATTTCCCTAGCTTCAGAGGCTTGGTTTGGCCGTTTCAGTGATCTGGCGAACCAGAAGACTGGCGAAGGGGGTGCATATAGGTGTGCTGAGTGCGGACTCGCATAAGACTGGCCATCAGGAAGCATCGGGCGGCGGACGCAGCGGGCAGGCGGAGTGGGCCTGGGTGATACGTATCTGGATGCAATCTGTATGGGCGGATGGATAGCTGATGTCCGTTTGCTGATGGTTTGTGTCGCCATCGATGTGCCCCTCGTGGTTCTGTTGGGGATAGTCCATGAGCCCATTGCCCAATCCAGCCTTCTTGAAGCACCAGTCAGGAAGTGCATGATGAGGCGAGCGACAAAGGGAAGCGCGGCTTTGTGGATTTGAAGCTATTCGTCCGGTCGCGCAAACAGACGTCTGACAAGCAGGGGAAAGGGGGGATTTTGGTGAGACGTCTCTGGGCTATTTCTGGCCCACGATGCGCGGCTGTTGGATACGCCGTGACTCACGCATTGCGCACCTTTATTATGCGTGCAGTGATGCGTCCAATGTGAGATGCAGGGCGAGCAGGGCGAGCGACCAAAAAGAGTCGAGGGAGTGCAAAAAGACCCCTTTCCCTTGTCCGGCCGGAGAATATCAAACCTTTTTGTCTCTTTGATTGTTTGACTGTACGTGTCCTGATGAAATTTCAGATACGTCGTCGCCCATCACTGGCGTCGTCCCTTGTCTCGTTTGTGAAGCGTCGCACGAGATTGTCGCGAGATCCGGACTTCCTGTTACGGTTTGTTTTGTTTACTCTTTCTGTCAAATACAGTCGTTGGCGCTTTCAATCCGCCGCTGATGGGCGATTTTGGTCGCTCGATTTTTTGTTGGCGATTTGTGCCAAAGTGTTGGAATGAGAAGAGCCCGGGTGTGACGATGTGTGATGGAAGAAAAAGATTTCCAGGGTTCCATTTGTGCCCGAAGTGTGGGTGACAACGGGCAGAGACCGTACTACGAAGGGGGGGGGGGGGGGTTTAGCGAACAGTCAGAAAATAGTTTGAAATTTTCGAACTGTAATTTAACAATTGGTTTTGGAACAAACATTTACGAAGCGTTAATTAACGGTTGCCCTAACCAAATATATTTTTAAGTAGTTAATATAAATAAACGCTTGGGTATAGATTAACATTGCTAAATTATAAGGTAATATTATAGTTCTAGCCTAATCGCAAAGTTAAAAAACTTAGCAAAAGGGAAAGAACTATCATGGGGCGAGGGCACCGTTAGGTATGAGGTATGATCTTTATTATTGTACAAGGGAAGTAAGAAAGGTGTACGCAGCCAGGGCAGATATAGGGCATAGGTGAGATCCATCTAATTGGATGGATCTACTCTATGACCGCTACTAAGGCTACCCAATACTATAGCTCTATTATACTACATTACAGTACATTAGCTAATAATAGCCATAGCACGACTAATATAAGGTATATAATTTAACCCTATAATACTACCCTCCGTAAAAGAAATCCCTATCTATAAAATTATTAAATATATAATTTTACCCTTTAATTCCTTCAAAGTAAGCCTTCCCAATCACCCCGTAGATACACCTAATTAAAATCCGATAAAATCCCTTAGCGCGCATACCAAAACGGGAAATTGCTTAGCGTTAGAATACCTATTTAGAAGTAGAATACTAGCTAAAATATTACTAAACGTAACCCTCCTACCAAAATATTTATTATTTTACTAAATAATTCTAAATAACGCTCTAATCGTCTTTATAATTACTACTTCCCCTTTTTATTATCGCCAGCCCCCGAAGGGGATACTATACGGGCCCTATAGTATAGCGGCGTATGAGGACGCTTAAAGCGCTACTACTAGTATAAATATAAACGTTATATATTCGAATTGTATTTATATCCTTCTTTCTTCTTCTTTTACCTTATACTTATAAACATAATTACTAAACGCTCTATTTATTTACGCTAATGTATTATAACTATCATATAATCTTATCCGAATTAGGGAGACCAATTTAGGGAGACTATAAGGGGAAAAGGAAATTAAAATATAAATAAATCTCGGGCTATCCTTCAAAATAAGCTTAGGAGATTCGTTTTCTAAGGACTCTAGGTAAGGTTCGCACTATAAATCCTAAATTCCTCTTATATTGAATTTTTATTTATATTTTACTTTTTATTTAATCGTATACTTTATTAGACCGGCGGTGCTTCTAATTATTCTAGGGTATCCTCCAGCTTTATTAATTTCTTCTTTGGCCGTTCCCGTCCTCGTCATTTCTTAACCCAGACTGGTAGCGGTAGTATATTAGAGTTAACATTATAAAATTTCTAAATAGCGTCGTAGTACCCTTCTAAATCCTTAATTAATTACTAATTAAATTTATTAATATCTTTTTACTTAATATAATGTTACTAGTGACCGTTACTTACCTTACTATATCCTACAATACTCTCGAACTTCTATTCCTACTATTTATCATTATCGTATTCGTCAGTCTTAATTATTATTCGGCCTTTATTAGTATAAATATCTTCTTTGATATTATACTATCCCGGCAATCCGGCCGTCTCCTAAAATTTAACTATAAATATATAGAATATTAAATTAACTTTTATATTCTTAGGGAATTTAAACTTTACGCAATAAGAATTTAATTCAATAATCGGGAAAGGTCCCTCCTATTTAGGGACTAACTTCGCTTACAACTTCCCCGTAGCCAGATTTTTAATATTTAGTAGGACCCTATCTCTAATATAATATTTTAGGGTATTATTACAATTATTATTTATATTTACCTCGTACCAATCTTACGCTTACTTTGATAGAGCGATTATACTATTTAAAATAATTTAGAACCAATTAACTACTTCTAAAACCTTAAAGAACTCCTTCTTTTATATTTCAAATAAATTAAGTAAGTATAGTTTAACCGGTTTAATGCTTATCCGAAGGTAAAAACTATAATTAGTATAAAATAAATTAACGCCTATTATTTCAAATATTACATTGTTATAAATAAATTCGGCTAAGTGTAACTAATCTACCTAATTATTTTATACCGAATTAATATAAAGACGAAGATATTACTCTATCTCCGCATTAATTCTTTTTATTTAGCCGTTAATTTACGAATAGAAGGCCGAAGAAAATTTTACTATAATACCTAACTATTTATATAAAAGTTTTTAAAGTATTAAAATAAATTATAAATCCCTATCCGAAATAATGCTATCTAATAGGTTGTAAATATTATAGATTTTTTCAATAAACCTTTTAACGAATTCCTTTATCTCTAAGGTTTCTATCGGAATATAATACTTTATTTTAGTTAAACGGTCGATAATAACCGCTATATACCTATAAGTCCTACCCCTCCGTATATATAGTATTATAGGGGTAATATAATCAATTAAAATCTCCATCCAAAATTTAAACGGGACTAAGAACAATTTTAAAAACCTCGCTAGCGAATATTTTATCAATTTTATTTTTATATAAATTAAATAAGTTTTATAAAATTCCTTAACTAATTAGTACATTCCTAGCTAATAATAGAATCTATTAAAGGTTTTATACGTTTTTTTACGGCCCGGGTAACTACTTGGTTTTACCGTATATATTTTAGAAATAAATTGCAATTAAAAATTTTTATCATTAGAATCAATAAATACCTTTTCTTTTATATTCTTCTTTTAATATACGCAGCCCTATTTAATTAAATACTTTG